GTTTAACCGCTAGCGTTGTTCACAGATGGACAGGCAGGCAGACGTTTTGCCGTCATTTGATTTTTCGGTATCAAGGACCCACAAACCCTTGATTCCGGCTACACCACATGTTAGATGATTTTTTTTTTAATTTAGAAATTGAATTTATCCACTTTTTCGTTACCAGGGTGATAAGAGTTTCTGCCGAAAAATCGCCGTTTTTCGCGCAGCATTTCGTAACTCCTTGCAGCGCGCAAGTTCAAAACCGGCGGGTCCGTTTAAAAGAGTCGCGCGTGCGCAGAATGCTGCAGATGGCGCACCGCCGCCACCACATCAACATGAACTGCGTGGACCCGCTGGGGCGCGGCGCGCTGTCGCTGGCCATCGACGGGGAGAACCTGGAGATGGTGGAGCTGCTGGTGGTGCTGGGCGTGGAGACGCGCGACGCGCTGCTGCACGCCATCAACGTGGAGTTCGTGGAGGCCGTGGAGCTGCTGCTCGAGCACGAGGAGCTCATCCACAAGGAGAACGAGCCCTACGTGAGTGCCTCTCCCGCCCACCCACCAATTACACTGCACTACACAATTACTGCATATATGATGTACAGGAAGGAAACAAGCTCCCAACATCATTCTAAGCGTAGTTTGTCTAATAAACTATTTGGGTATTCCGAACGGCAAAGCACTCAAAAGTTGATTTGAAAAATTGCTTTTTAGGCAAAAAATTTGCATTGCAGAAACATACAAACTCTAGAAACGTGGAAATAGTTTATTATTTTCAAAATAAATTAATATAATTGTCCTGAAAGAAAAATTAACAAAGAAATAAAAATACCCATTTTACACAATTCTATTGTATTTTTTTTTCTTTCTGGGTTATTTTTTCTTTCTGGTCAAATATATTCATTTCTCTTGTAAACAATAAACAATTTACATGTTTCTGGAGTGTTCATATGCTTCTGCAATGCAAATTTTTGTCTAAAAAGCAATTTTTCAAACTAACTTTTGTGTGCTTATTATGGCTCAGCCATTCGGAATATCCAAGTAGTTTATTAGACAACAAACGGTTAAAATTGTCTTAAGAACTTATTTTCGAAATTTCGAGGTTTCCTCCCCAGACATTCTGTATATTGAAATGAGTTATTTCTGACCAACTCAAAAGGGTCAGAAGTGTTAAAGTTTTCCTCTTTTTAAAATGAAGACAATAAAGTGGAAGACAAATGAGCCCTGGATAGAACGTATAAAATGGTTTTGTGAATAAAGTAAAGAAACGAAAATGCACACCCGTGGGTGACAAAATACTGAGACACATTACATGAATGGGTGAAAAGCTACATTTCATAAATTCTGAGAAATCTGTGTTTTTAGCCAATTTCACTGTAAAGTCGTGGTGCTTTGTTTCATCATTAAAACCACGTCATTTCAATTGTTCATTAAAAACACGAAAATACATTGCCACTGAAATAGAGCACAAAATAAACACATTTTTCACAGAATTAATAAAATTTCACTTATACCGTTCTTGTTTTCACCCTTTCATATAGAAATTGTAACTCTTAAATGGATTTGGTGTGTAGAGGAAGCCAAGAAGAATCATGAGCAGAAAGAAAAACATATTTAGAGACACATTATAGAAAGAAAATCAAGAAGCATGTGTGAAAACCAAGTGAGTAGATCGGTGGGAATAGTTAATGTAGTCGGGACACTTTTGGGGATGAACTACACATAGCAAGAGATATTTGAAGGTGAGTGTTGTTGTGACAGGGGGCGGAAGGGTACAGACGTTTGTGAAATCCGGATGCGTCTGTAGCAAACACACGCGAGTTGTAGAAATTTTGAACTTAAAGTACTGCTAAAAGTAATTTGTTATGACGAAGTATTAGAAATTAGATCGAACAGTTGTAAAATCACAATTTAATGCAAGATATGAATGAGAATTTAACATTAATTTTAAAAATTTGGTTTTTGTGTTGTTTATATTGTCAGCACATAGCATGTCATTATTACGATTAATTTTTTCATATAAAATTCGATAAGAAAGAAAAGTTTGCATTAAGAACTGTAAAATGATGCAGGAGAATAATTACCATACTCTTAAAACACTAATATTATTTTCGAAGAAAGCCACAAGCAGGAAATTTCCAAATATCGTTTGCAAGATATCCACACTGAGTTCCCAGACGGCAGGTGTCTATCGCCCCATCATTATAAGTTTTCTTGATCCAGTAAAATATGACTTACTAATAAAGCATTATTTTTAATGAAATGAGAACGTGAGCTATGGGGAATGACAAATTTAGAGTATTAATAAATACAATCTTCATTCTGTCTAAGCCGGAATCATAAAAAACAGAAAAATATTCCTATTTAAGAAGGTTTGCTTTTTATGCAGATTTGCCCATTTTATGACACTTGTGGTATTTATATTTGCTTCCAGAAACTAGTAAATTATTGACTTTATTATATTTATTCACATAAATACATTAACACATAACGTAATTACGGAAGAAATACCAGCAATAAATTAATATTTCGGTAAACATTCCGCATTGACAGCTTCTGAGTTTCTCTTGGAAAATAAGAAGGAATATAGAAAAAAGCTTCACCTTTTCATCTAAGGTTAGAGTTTTGCGGGTTTTTTTCAACCATTGTTAACCTGGTTGTAAAACTCACCACCTCACTGCCCAGTGGCTGCAGTCGGACTGCTTGCTGACTCAATGCACAATGTGACACAGCCCAGAGTACTATGACCTTCTAATAGCTTTGCATGGCCTTAAGCAATGTGTCTCAGGCCCAGGGGTTACGACTTTCATTTCAACGCAGATCAGGGAGGTACGAACTACGCCTTGAGAGACAAGCGATCACAAGGTCGAATTCTACACTGGCAACTAAAGCTCCTCGCCTTCACTGTCTGACTGCCACAACTGAAACGCATATCATAGGTACAGAGAAATGAAAACAGGGACAGAGACTTGCACATGCATTCATTCCATTAAGAGATTCTCGCGTCTCTCTGCCAATTGCATTAAATTCACAGAAATTCCGTTTACAAAGTTTTTTTCCCCTGTAGAACACGGAAAAACTATCCGTTTCCACGTTGGACAGATTCCGTTTTATTTACCTTCCAGTTCCGTCGTGTCGGCGAAAAAGTAAAATCTCAATAAAACATGGAAAAACTATTAAAACAACGCTACTGACTCGTTCCATTTTCTTAATAGCAATAATTTAAACTTTGTGCTCCCAGATTGAAATATTCTTAAGTATTCATCAATATTTTTTGTTCTGTTTAATCACGTGATGTTTTTATGTACGGAAATGTTAAACATCATAACGACGCTGGATGTTGTAGTTTGTTTTTTTTTACAAATATTAGGCTTTTTACATACTACGCATTGAGAGTCACCATCATGATTACGGCTTTAAAACCGAAGCGACCACTATTCATATTCCTAGACCGCTTTGCGCTTACCTTCCCCGTTACACATCTTCGTGTCACCTTCAAAACCGAAACTGCACGAACAGAGTCGTTTCTTGGTTTGAAGGGAAAATGAGAGCGGAGTCAGAGGACGTATCTCGTGCCATCAGGAACGCCGGGCTTCCCAGGCGGGCAAGCAAGCGACTTCAAAAGTAGTAAAATTAAATACTCCACGTTTCCTTTCCCCTATTTTTGAAAATGGTCAAATTAAAGCGAAATTTTTGATCATTTTTCGGGAAATTGAAAAAAATAACACGAAAAAATTTGCCTTGTATTGTCGCGTTCGAGACGTATCTCAATAAGGAATTAAATTCCGGCTACTGCTGTTCCCTCAAAGACAACTGTTTAACTCGTAAATAAAATTTTACTTTACCCTTCTTGCCATAAATTACAATACTATAATCATCGTTTGTTTGTATCGTTCGTCATGTGTTTTACTTCAAAAAACTTGAAACCTACTCAATGCACTACTAAAAATATATTTTTCACGCGAATTCCAATAGTTTAAAACACAGTCTTTCTTTTTAACTTTTCACAACTTTTCACCTGAAAAATATATAAAACATATTATTCCATATATGGATGGGTGAAAACCAGAACAATATAAGTGACATTTTATAAACTTTCAGAAAAACTTGTTTATTTTAGCTATATTTCAGTTGCAATGTAATTTTGTGGTTTTCAAGAACAATTGAAATACCGTGGTTTTAATGATGAAACAAAGCACCACGATTTTACAGTAATATTTAGTTCAATACACAGTTTTCTCAGAATTTATAAAATGTTACTTATACCGTTCTTGTTCTTACTCATTCATATATTAATTATTAAACGACCAGATAATTAATTAGGGAAAAGTATCGGTTAAAATACTAATTTAGTATACCTATGACTAGGCACGAAGATGAATTTAAATTTAAATTCATTATCGATCACGAACTATGGAAGTAATGAATGGGTTTACGAGCTAATGAAGTCATGATTAATGACATATACCTCCTCAGAACACTTCCGTGGTAAAATACTTTGTTATTGATGATACTTGCTTAACGTAATAAGGGCCACTCCACAGGGAATCATGCTCACCTATTAAAAACGTAGACCGACACGCTTAAAGGTTTTTCGACAATTATTTATATATCCTTTGAAATTGTAGATTATTGGTGAATTAATTTAATAATATTAACATTTAACCTCTTTTGAAGTGTAATGTTTTAAAAGTTAACTGCGAATTTTAATTCAAACATTTTTATAGTAGAAATAGTAGTAGTACTAGAAGAAATATTTACAAAAGAACTTTTATACTTTTTATTTTCAAAATATTTATAAATTAAAATAGGAAATTCAAAGTAAGGTATAAATTAAATAGTTAATTCCAGACAATGTATTTTGATTATTTCTTTTTATTTATTTTTTTAATGGCTTCTAAAGTCGCCCTTGTACTTTAACGATACAGATTGATGGGGACAATCTCCAAAGTTATCCTACAATATCAAATTGTTTTTGCATTGTTCTCATAATTACAATTATTAAAAAGCCACAATTTTCTTCTTCTTCTATTCTTCCTTCGTTTTTGGATTTCTATTTTTTTTTTATTAGGGTCTTTTTCCCAGTGGATTGTGGTTGATTTTTGAAAATATTTAAGAAAAATTGGCTTCGAATAACGTTCCTTTTGCTACAAAGTTACTAATGTGATATAGTTATTCAATAAAGTACTAATCTGTAATTAGTAATCTGGAGGGGATAGCCATCAAATTTCAGCAAATTTTTTTTAAAAATAATTTTCTCAGAGTGAAAGGTGTTCTTTAAAAACGTTTTAACCTACAAATGTTTAGAGTTCGGCCTAACTAATAATACGGCTTCCTGGTTACGTAAACACGTTCGCGAAACAGGTGATTCGCGCGGATTCGCGCACGAATCGATAAGACGAAAGTGGCCATCACCTCTCGCACGCGTTGATAGACCTACGCTATTTTTGAATTCGCCATGTGCGAAAGAAGTTTCGCGCACGCTTCGTACGCGATTAGTTAGACCGAAAAAATCAGCTTCTTCGTACTCGAACTTCGCACATAACGCATTAAAATAGTTTACGTAACAAGGGCGCGAAACAGGTGATTCACGACATTCCTCGCGACGCTCGGACGACAGAGTCAAGGGCGAGAATCACCTCGTGTTGCGTATTCTATTTTTAACAAGCCGTTAGCGAAGTGCAATGCATCAAGTAAAGGATTATAAATTAAATATCAACTAATTAGAAATACCTTTCTTATACAAAAGTAAGTGGATTCCATTCAGTATCTTAACACTACTGTTTGTAAATAATAAACAAAGACGTCAAGACGAAATATATTAGCGAATCGTTACAATTTTTTCGCACACTAAAAACAAGCACAAACCGTGTTTCGTGAACGACGTATTAAAAATTGTATTACTTTCCCGTATACGTACTATAGGGAAAGTTATGTAATGCTGCTGAAAATCTATTTCGAGATTTCAACGGATATACACGTTTTGGGGTCACCTAATACCGAAAAAGTGGTTCTTTTCAAAATGCCCGTTTGTCTGTCTATGAACCCTACTATCACCTAAACCATGCGTAGGATTTTTTTTTTACAAATTGAAGAAACCCCTTCCCATCTGGCTCAAGTTGAAGCTTTGAGATTTTGAAAAACTTTGTTTAATATTTGGGGGTGCTTTACACGAAGCCCTCCGGACATTTTCAAACTTTTCTCAAAAACGGCTCCAATTGTTTTCTTTAAATCCCATGTAACATACACTTATAGAAGTGCCGTAGGTCCTATTTTCACGGTTAACTCTGAATTTTCGACAATTTCAGAAGTATGATTTTTTTTCGGGGTCTTCCTACAACTACAAAATTAAAGATAGAGATTTTCCCTTCAAATAAAATTTATTCTCCATAGTGCGTTCTTTCATTAAGGTCATGTACATTTTATTAAAATTTTAGTAGTCTTCGTGTAAGATTGCGTGCAATATGTGCAATTTAAAAGAATTACAAAACAAGATTTTCTCAAAACTGCTCCAATTTCTTTCTTTAAACTTTTGTTAGGGATAATGCTAAATGATAACATGATAATGCTAAATGATAAGATGACAAACGCCATATTGCTCTATTCTTTTGTTTTTTTCAAAAATTTACAAAAAAATATTATTGACTTGTCTCTCCCTTCGTTAATATTTACATTTCCATTGATTTGTAAACACCATTGCATTTGTGACTAAAAAAGCTTGAAATTGAGTCTTATGAAGTTTTTCGAAAACTCAATAATTTTCTGTAAAAATATGTTCAAATTTCGAATTTACAGTAGCGTTTAAGCGCCATTTTCTTAAAAACATCTTTTTTTCAAAGAAAATTGCTATTTAGAATGTGGTTTTACTGTACTTTACTGTACTTACTACTTTAATATTCTTAATATAATATTTCCGTTCTACTATTAGGATGCCGAAAAATTAAGAAAATTTTTAAAAAACGTACATTGGGCGGCGATAGATGGCAGATGGCTAGAGTATGTGGCAAGTCCGAGTAGCCAACCGAGACCAAAGGAAATAGAAAACTAATACGGGACATTCTGTGCCATTCTGTAGCACCACTAGTTACATTATATTGTATGGTACCAAACATGTAGTACGCGCACGTGTTCTTCAGCACCGATTTACCTATGCCATAGTGTGAGGGGGGTAGTAATTTTGTATCAATAAGGCCTTACTTAAAAATCAAATATACATCGTTTGTTGATATAAATAGTTTTCTAAGCAATAGCTAAGCCAATTGTAACTTTACGGAAGCTAAAATTTCTTGTTAATGTTAGCAATTACGTTCGTTGATATCTTTTTATTTATAATTCAACTAGGTACTACTACTCTTGTAAAAGAGAGTGATTAGGAACTATGAAGCTCAAGAAAATGTACGCAAATCATACTTTGGAATTAAATTAATTTGACTTACCGAACTAGTGCACGCAGGTTCGGGTAGATTTTCTTCTGAACATGCATTTTACAGCAGAAACTCAGCAAGTAAAACAATCCTTGATATGCACCGTTCATTGAAATTAAAAGCAGTCATCACTAACAGATAGAACATTATTACGAGCACATCTTAACAGTTGACTTATTGTGGACAACTACGAACTCGTACATAACATGGAATTTCAATATGAATGAGCACCGGTTCACTGTCATCCATGTCCACCTTGTAACGACGACTGGTCTCAAAACTTCGTGGCGTTTTGACACAATCCTATAAGAAATCATCTATTTCCCAGAAGAAAACGGAATCACATTCATTTATGGCACAATTAATAGACGAAAATTGCATTGAAAAGCTTTACTGCTTTTGTACATCAGCAAAACAACCGCACTCACAAATACCAAGTTACCGCGAGACAGGCAAATGAAACGTGCTGTCCCGTGACGCACCACGAACTCGGTTCAAAGTGTGAAGCCCAGTATACACGACTTCTGGAGAGTCAAATGATAAAAAAATGGTCTACTTTAGATTTTCAGTTCTTGTGTAGCTAATTTGCTTAATTTTTATTTTTTAATTCAGAGAGCCTGTGTATTTTGGTTGTGTTTACCGACGTGACTACCGACTCCCAAGGCCCATTTCCCCTCAACCTCTCCGTTGCAGTGTTAAATGTTGAGAATGGTTAAGCGATTTTACAGATATAGTCAGATAATTGACAAAGGACAACGAAATACAATAAACGTCCCACCGTTTACAATAGTTTTAAACATTTAACTGTAATTGTCTATATAATAATATGTGTTAAGACTAATTTATTTTGTAATAATACATTTTGTAATAATACATACTCTTCCTAATAATTAATAACAATTTAATTTTTTTCCTAATAATTTATTAGGAATAATAGTATAATTTTAATATCCTTTTCACTTCAATATTTTGATTCTGTGAGACAGCTGGTGATGTGAACAGTTTGCAGCCACACATCATATAACCTAATATCGATTTAAACACATATATAAGGTGCTATATCACTATTCTTCCTTTCAATCATTCAAATAAGACGTGATTGATCAATTGATTGATTATTTCTATACAAATTAATCTTTGTGAATTAGATCCATAATGACTTCAAAATTGATAATCGTACATGCTATGTAATAAAAAAAGTTAATTTAAAATTCCCAATGATTTGTTTATCAATGTCTACAGAATTTCTGAAGAATATTAACTGTGAGAGGTGATTAACAAAAGATCAGAAGTTTATTTGTGTATTGATATTAACTGATATTTTATCTGAACTAAATCTAACTTGAAGTCATCTTATTCTAATAAATTGGCTTCTGCCCTGTGCCTCAAAATTAATTTTTTTCTTGATTTAAATTTTTCAAAAATATTTATTACTATGCAATGAGATTTCATTTTAATTCTAATCGAATAAAATGACTTTAGCATGAGAATGAATATCTACTCCATTATCTTTCAAGTTCACTCACCGAGTTAAAAAAAGCTCTTCTTGAATTTCAAAACCAATAAATTCAAACTTTCTTTCAGGGAAGGGCACAACTAATTCAATAAAATTGCTGACCAAAGATTAAGTCCTTGAGTAAAGAAATCACTAATTTCAGAAAATTTCTCTGCATAAATTTTTAATTTTTCTGTAAGAAAGAGTAAATTCAGATATGAAATTTTCTTGCTAAAGACCAGCATATAGTCATTAAAAACATTTGAATTTTCTTATTACCTAACAGCATTATTTATAAGTTCTATTGTTACAGCATACCCCCAAAATGTCTTCGTTAATTGGAGGCATGGTCACTCAACTCAAAATACATTAATCATGCATTAGTAGCTTATTTCAAAGGATCTTGCATGAATTTACCAGATAAAGATAATGTGTCTAGCATATTTTAAAAACTTGCAAACCATTCAATTTCAAGAATGTTTTTGCACGAACCCCAATTTCTTTTTGTTATTTTCTGAACAGAGAAATATAAAAACTTTAAATTTAGAGGATTATGAAATACTTTTTCATTGTGAAATTTAAGTTAGTATTTGGCACTATTTGTTTGAAGAAAGAAACAATTAATTTAAAGTACTAACAAACATGGATTTCCCATTCTAAAAGAGAAATGTTGATTTACAACGAATTATTCTTTTTTAATTCAATATGTAGTTACAAAAATGTGATAAAAAGATATTAAAAATTGACTGCTAGTTTTTTTTTTCTAATAATCACTACGTAGCAATCAAATCCATGATCATTAGTCCTCCTGCTTTATTAATCATTACTCTAATCAAAGTTCACATTATTTCTCCATCACATAGATTGAATAGTCACACCCCACTAAGGTAGATTTACAATGAAAGAACTAGCCAAAAATTAAACATTTCTTTTTGAGATAAAATAAAAATTCCAGATTAACAAGAGCTTCTGACAAAGGTATATTTGCAAGCACTGTACAATTATGATTATATTATTTGGTGGTCTATATGTACTATTTGTAACCTTTCTGTTATCTCGTTTTCAGAGTTGGGAGAAAGTCGACTGGAACACCGCAACTTTTACCCCTGACATTACACCTCTGATCCTGGCGGCTCATCGGAATAATTACGAAATCATCAAGATTCTCTTGGACCGAGGGGCTACACTTCCGATGCCACACGATGTGAAGTATGATTAACGAAGTTTCTAAGCTATGATGCTCTAACAATCCGCGCACTCTTTCTTCAGCTCCCATTTCGATGCAAGAGAGGTGAGGGGAACGGGGTTGGTTATTTCCATGGCAGCCAGCCGATCAATTAGGGCGGATCCAGCCGATCAATTAGGGGGGAAGGAGGGCATCGTAGAGGTTTGTTAAATAATAAATATATTTATTATTATAGTGCATATTATTTATATTCTGTGGATATGGTACTATTCAATACTATTGTTTAAATAATTACATAATTCGAACATAAATAAATATTTAAATACATTTTGACAAATAAAGGAAGGTAAACGAAAACTCTAGGTTTTTTGGGGAGAGGGCATGTCCCCCATGCCCCCTCCCCCTGGATCCGCCAGTGGTTCGCGGAGAGGGCCAACAATGCGACCGGTATATCCCGGGCCATGCGGCCCAACACGTCCCATATTCTTATTATCAGGGCTCGGATTCTGGTGATCTACAAAATGACGCATAAAAGGACTAAAAATTATAAGGAATGTCCTAATTTTTAAAAATAAAACTCAAACATTTGTACACAATTGTTTATTATTTTTCCGATGAATGTTACAATTCTAAACACAATTTATTTATGTAAACTTTAATATAAAGTCTCTATTATAGAAGGAAATGTAATCTTTAACTCAGATCTTCCAACCATCTGTATGGAAAGGTTGAGGAAGTTATCGAATATCTGTATAATTTAGAGAGTTACAGAAACTGAGACAAGTGCAGTAGTGAATTTCGTCACGAACTAATGATGTATTTAAAAGTTTGTTTCAGTGGGTCATTGTAAATTTATGAAACATTTACTAACAAAACAACAGAAAAAGAAACAAAATGCATAAGTGACAAAAATGATCTAAAAATGGAAAAACGGCAATCACCTAATAACTATAAAAATCTATCACTTACAATATGTCGTGATAAACGTTAATTTACAAGTTGCGTTTAATTTACAGCAACAAGTTAATTTACAAGCGAAGGTTGAGTGATCAATAAAAATTGTGGTAAAAAATAACATGCACATGTAAATTTCTCTCTGTAGAGTGTTTTTACAAGGGCCCACGTACTACGTGCTTTGTACCGGGTCTCAGATTTTCTCTCGGCAGCCCTGCTACTATATCAATATTTTTATCTCATCTGTCGAAACAAATAGTTTCTATTCCACTGGAGTGAAAATGTCTGCCTATCAGAAACTGTCAACACGTTTGTTGGTATATTTTATTCATAATTTAACTTATGTCTGTATATGGGTATTCTGAGCCTCAAGAAAAAGTGCGGGTATAATATACGTAATGCGTTTACGCCATAAGGACCTAAGACCTAAAGTTTTCTCATTTATGACACACTGTTATTCTTTGCGATCACACAGGTGTAATTTCCTCTACAGTACTGTCCAATAAGATATGAACTTCGTTTGCTCACGCATGTAGCTTATATTACAAAGAAAATAGTATTTCTTGTTATCGAATGTCGCCAAGATCATGCTCTTCATTCAAAATTCAACTAGGTGTAGCAAACGAGAGATGGTGGAGATTTCGGAACTCAAGAAAACGTGTATACGTCTTCCCCATACGTCTCATTAAGTTTTCCAATTGATTTTTGACGTTTAACAATTAAATAGTAAAAAATATTTAAAAAGTCAATTTTGGTTCCAGGTGCGGCTGTGACGAATGCATTCGCGAATCCAGTGAGGACTCGCTCCGTCATTCCATATCTCGCATCAACATGTACAAAGCCCTCGCAAGTCCTTCGTTGATAGCCTTGTCTTCCAATGACCCCATCCTTACAGCTTTCCAGCTCTCTTGGGAATTAAGGAATCTAGCCTTTGCCGAGCAAGAAAGCAAGAGCCAGTACATGGTACGTATGAAATGCACGGACAGCGTCTCTGAAAGAGCTTCACAAAGCGAAGCATGCGCTGCTCCATAGGAAATCCACTGATCACACTTAAGATACGAAAGCAGAGTGCGAATTAGCAATTGTCTCCAGAAGGGTGAATACAAAAATTCAGGTGTGGAAGAATGGATCAATGAAACGATGACCATCTTCCTTTAGCGCGTTTTGAAAGAGGGTCAGAGGAAGCATTTGATTATTTCATGCCTTATTCTACGTGGCGAGACTCAGGCCTTGAGGCCTGATTTTCCGCCTGAACACGCAAATTTCGTTCGCTTTTTTCACCATCTAGCGGAGAAAGGAGGTATTACTCGGACGACGAAAAATGCGATTTGAATTTAGCTCAGAGGCTTCTTTTCGGCTTGAGGATCTTTTATGTGCAGTAAATCTTCATGGGGACAGCCGGCTTTACTTTCCCCTCCGAAAGAAATTTCGTCCTCAATAATTCACTCCATTTGCAATTTTAAAGTACAAATTTAAGAACAATATTTTGAATGTGTTTTATTGTTATTAAACGGACCGCAGATCATCATTAAATTGTTTCACGAAGGAATTGTTATCTACCGAAACTCAGATGTAAGTAGCAAACCCCATTTTAGCCATGTGATCATTTGAAATAAATTTAGTTCCCCACATTAAAAACGCTCTCCCTTCAGGGTACGATGAGAGGAGCGAAGGGGGGTTCGTAAGGGGTAGGCAATCTATCATGCATGTACCTAAATTAAGCGAGCAGCGTTTGGAGGCAACTACAGCCTTCCCTGGGGGGAAGCCCATAGTGCTAGATTAAATCAAGTCCACCCATAAGACTCTTTCTCTCTGAATACCCTTTTCCTTAAACAGCCTGTAATTTTTTAGGAGTTGCGGCGACAGTGTCAACAATTTGCTGTTGACTTGCTGGATCAATCGCGTAGCTCCTTGGAGCTGGCGATAATTCTCAACCATGATCCAGAAAACCCCCCTTATGAAGAAGGAGAACCAATGAAACTCGCCAGATTGGAATTGGCGATTGATTACAAGCAGAAAAAGGTTTACCGTCATTCATTTCTTATGCATTTGTATAATTAGTGTGAGTTCCAAATGTTCTAATGATATTTCTTTTGCAGTTTGTGGCTCATCCTAATATTCAACAACTTTTGGCTGCTATTTGGTATGAAGGTCTTCCAGGTTTTCGAAGAAAGACAATTGTGCAAAAGTTAATGGACGTGTCTCTGGTAGCATTACTCTTCCCATTTTATTGTACTTTGTACATGATCGCTCCCAATACAAACACTGGGAAACTGATGAGAAAACCCTTCATGAAGTTTCTTATCCATGCATCTTCATACTTATTCTTTCTTCGTAAGTAATAACTTTGCAATATTTGTTTATACGTTTTGAAATTTCACCAACAGGGGAAGAAGAACAAATAAAATTTCAAATAATGGAGTATATATATATATATATACTACAGTCAGATGCAGTAGAAAAACACCCGTGAAGGTACTTGCAAAAGATAAACATTCTGCACCGTTACGTTCAATCCCTTTCAAATAAAACTGACTTTATCAAAGGAGTTCTACAGAGCGATTTAAATCAAATGGATATTATTTGCTTTACAGAACATTGGTTATTTCATAATCATCTTATCATTTTCCAAATTCTAGACTTTTACCTCGCAGGCTACTGTAGAGAAAAGGAATCACATAAAGGTCCTGCATATGGGGGTTCTTGCATTTTCGTTCGAAATAATATCGATTCTATTTCCTTGACGCAATTAAATGTGTATTCCGTTGAAAATGTTTTTGAAATATCTGTAGTACATCTTCCTACGCTAAAAATTATATTACTATGCATCTACTGGCCTCCAGAGAGAACAGTAAATTATATTATGTTCTTAAAAAAACTGGAGATAACACTAAATAAAGTCACCAATCGCTCTTTTGAATCCATTGTTGTACGTGGAGATTTTATCATTGATTTTCTGTTCGAATTTTGCCTGAAAGAGCAGTCTCTCAATTTAATTCATTCCTTCAGTTTAGATATTACAATAAATGTACCTACACGGATCACACTAAATTCAAAGAAGGCAATCGATCAAATAATAATTAACAAAACCACTACTCGATATGAAATTGAAACAAATGATTTAGGATACAGCGATCACGATGCACAAATTCTTACCGTTATAAGAAATGCTTACACTGACACAATAAATAATACACGTATGAGTAGATTATTTACTAAAAGTAAAATAAAATTATTCATCAATTACTTGCTGCAAGAATCATGGGACGCGGTTTACAATACTGTTGATACAAACGATAAATATAATTTCTTTTTTCAACGCTTTCATTTCAACTGGGGTCTTTTGTAGGCTGAGATGATGATTATGGGAGAGGTGGGGGTTCCAAGTAGGATGACAGTACATTCTAGGGCTGTGAAGAAGTTGGTAAGGAGGATGTGGGAGGAATTGTCGGATGAGGATGACTGTACCGTCTCCGGGGGCAAAGGTTCTGTAATTCCGGTATGTGAGGTAGTTTTGGATGGTGAAAGAGTTGGTAGGTATCAGCATAGACTCTCTCATCAGCATAGACAGCAATAGGATCCCGATGGAGTAGTCTTTTAAGAACTGGGTGAGGATGTTTTTTTCTGGGCTAAGCCGCCACGTGCCTTCCACGAGGAGAAGGTTAGGATTCGGGATGGGGGAGCCATTAATTTAGTATTTCGACAAGTTTAATGCCTGCGGTTATTAATTTTGCGAGGATGTCCTCTGTGCCGTTCAGGATGTTGATGAAGGTTCTTAGATGAGGAAGGAATTTTTTTATGGTAGGTGATTGGAGAAGTGAGAAGAGGTCTTTTATATCTTGGGTGGTTGTATGTTGTGGGTTTGGAGGGGGTTGGTTGGTGTCGGAGGCAGAGGAGTAGGATTCGTTTAGTTGTCTGAGAGGTGGGAAGGACTTTGTTGACATGTCGGGAGGGGGCGGTTGGGTAGAGGTTTTTGGTTGTTGTTCTCTGGTTTCTTTAGCTTTGGTAAGGTACGGGCAGAATAGGTCTATGCTGGGTGGTTTCGGTTGCAGTTGCAGCAGGTGGGAGTAAAGGGAGTGGATTGGTCTAGGGATAAGGAAGGGTATTCTTCGGTCGAGTGGATTTGGCACAAAGGGCGCAAGTCACTGGTCGTCTACAGTATGTCCTTGTATGATAGTTTTTGGCAACGTTTGCATTGGGGGATTCAGTCAGAGTTTCTGTAATTTTCGATTCTAGTACTGTAGTATTCTATGTACATCAATTTGCTTTTGGTGTCAGTCTTGTCCTTTTTTGTAGTCTCAATTACGTACAGTTCAAGTGGGGTAAGATGTCCGTAAACGTCACGTCGGTTCATTTTAGTAAGGAGGAAACGGGATTTTCAAGTTCTGGAGGTTTGTCCTAATTCTCTCAAGGTCGTAGTTAGGGGGGAGTTCTTTTAGAACAATTTTCTCCCTGATCTCTTCCGTCGCTCTATTGTATGACTATGAAATATTTACAAAGTATAAGTCCTTGAGGTCTGTCGTAGAGATCAGTTCTAGTCGGTCCCGAATTTTGTTGTAGGCAGTCATAATAAGGGGTTGGATGAGAAGTTGTGTCCTGTTGCATTCGGCAATCATTGCGTTGTGGCTGGTTTCAATAAGTCTTGGGTCAGGTCTGAGGGGTTGATGTCTATGCGGAAAGGTGCAATTTTACTTTTCGTTGGCGGGGCTTTTAGTGGTTGAGGGAGTTCTTGTTCAGTTGCGGGTGGCTTCGGATTTTCTGAAGTATTGTTATTGTCGTCTGAGGTGCCGGAGCTACTAGCTTGGGAGACAGGTTGTTGGAGCAGGGTGTAGCGGTCGCTCAGGGGTAAGGATTGGGTTTGGGGTGGGGGATCAGTCCTGGAGGGTTTGGTGACCAGCTTGAAACCATCCTCGGGCATGAGTCCTTCGGAGTTCTTGTCAGGGGACGGGTCGTGAGGTCGTCGTGCGGTTGAGGTACCAGTTGTGGCGGGAGATCGTGCTGTAGCGGTTGTCTGCTGTTACCGTCTTTGGTGACGCGTCTTCATCGATAGTTTGGTGCTGTCGTCGTCGCTGGTTTCCACGTCCATAGATTTGTCCAATGTTGTTGCCGTGTCGTTGTCGCAGGGTCCAAGTCGGGCAGCGGCCGAAAACGCGCCTCTTCTCGGAAGCGCCGGTTGCTCTCCGCAAGCGCTCGCCGGAAAGACTCGCGCTAGACCAACGACCAAATACTCTCTGCCAAGGACAGCTATTATCTGTGGCGGGTTGCAGCTACGAGCCGTGCTGTCTCCAACACCACGTGGTCAACTGGGTCGTAGTCGGATGTGCGTTTCTTAATGGCTGAACCGCTTTGTAGCTAAAACAGAATACAGGAGGGTCGCGATCGCAGTCAGTGAGGTTGGTGCTCACTGCATGGGTGATGCTCGTTCAATACGATTAGAAACGAAAGAACAGTTCTCTTTGCGGACGATTCGAATATTCTTTGGAATAAAGAAACCATAAATAGTACAATATCAGATATTTCGTAATAATTGGTTTCATAATAACAAATTAATAGTAAATGAAAAGAAAACTGGTCCAATGCTGTTGTCCATTTCAAATAAACAGCTCGGCACTTCACTGAAAATGCCATTGACTGATGATAACGCAACAACATTTTTAGGTCTTTCAAATCAGTCAAACCTTACAAGGAACGTTCATTTAAATGAATTGAACACAAAATTAACTTCTTTATGCTACGCTTTCAGAATTCTTTCAAATTCAGTCAGCCTACACACTGCTCGTTGTGTATATTTCGCGAATGTTCAGTCCCGCCTGAGATATGCATAATATTATGGAGAAATACATCTTATAGCTCCCAGACTTTTTGCATTACAAAAAAGAATTGTACAAATAATAAGCAAATCCCATCCACGTGATTCTTGCAAGTCTCTCTTTATTAATCTAGGTATTTTAACATTACCTTATCTCTTAATATATTTATTTGTCAAAAATGACTTACTTAAGAGCAGGAATATATTTTCATCAAACGCCGTTGTCTATAACTACAACACTCGACGTAGTAATCATATTCATCAGGTAACAGTATCAACAGCTCCCTACAAAAAAATCACATACAATCCATGTACATTATTTTACAACACCTTGCCAGATGACAATAAACTATTAAATTCGATAAAAAAGTTTAAGTCCTAAGTAAAATCTTTTCTGCTGCACAACTGTTTCTATGCATTTAGAGACTATACCGAACATACAAAAGGATGGATTGTATAATTGTAAAGAACCTGTAACAAGTATTGTATTTCAGCTTCTGGGTCAATGACCCCCATCTCGATCAGGTTTTTGTTCAGTTTCCCTGATCCTCAAGTAAATGCTGAGATGGCCCCTTGTTTTGCTTCTGGACATAAATGTAACTTCAAATTAACTTCTCCCCATAGCACGTCACTCACAGTTTTTAACTGTTTTTGACCTAAATAAATAAACAAACAAATAAATAAATAAAACAAATTTCTCAAACACCAAAATGTAGGTGGGAGTGTAGACTAAACTGTTCTCTATTTCTGAAGAGGTTTACTTCTCACTTTCTCTGCTTGACTGATTCAATAGAATTCATGAGTAGTCAAGGGAGGAAAAAGCAAATATTTAAATGCATACCAAAAACAAATTTTCAAATAGTTTTCAAAAATTTCCAAATAACCAATAAAAAGTTTAAAATTACCAAAACGTAACACCTTCTCAAATTAAGTTAAATAACAGTCCAATTTTTACCCAATAATTAACATTTTTAAATACATCTACATGAAGTTTCTTGAAATTTCTCTCAATAAGAAAAGGTTCTCCTCCACCTATAATCTTCTGCAGTTATGTGAGCTTACACATTACTAATATATAATGTATTTGATTGCAGTAATTTTAATTCTGGCGTCTCAGAGAGCAGAGGTACAGGCCATCCAATTATTCGGGACAGAGTCAATGAGAAAAAATTTAGAAGAGCAACTACGAAGGCAAAGAGGAAATGGCCCCACACCTTTGGAATGGATTATTGTTGTTTATGTTTTAGGTAAGAAACAAAGCCCTTACAAAAGCACTGTTAAATTTGTATTCAGTTTTGTTTTACTGATACAACTTCCTTGCTAATTTCATATCTCAGTCGAATTGTAAAATTTTCAAGATCGCTCTACAATAAAGCTAGTTAGTTTTCACCTTGACTTGATTAATTTATTCTATAAAAAAATATATAATAAAAAATAAGCTGTATGTGTCCAATGAGAGAAGTATGATTTGTGTATGTTTTCTCGACTTTCAGAATACCTACCCCAAATGTGCTTTAGTAGAGAGTACTCTTTATCTTTAAGTTCATATTAAAGTAAAATTGAGGTGTTGCAAAATAATTAAATAGTAGATAATAATCTGCTTCTAAAACTATAACCAGGAATAATCTATTTATTTGTTTAGATATTTCCATATATTTCTAACACATTATCTCTTCTTCCTTTATTTCACATATTACTTTACTTCTAACACTTCTAACATTATCAAATCTTTGTTTAAAAAATTCGAATTCTTCTATCCTATTCTCCATTTATTTCTCTCTTTAACCATTATTTTAGAAGAAACTTCTACATTATTCAGAATAATTGTTTTCTTCATTATATCACACAGCACTGTCTTGATTTTTTTTTTCTTTTTCCGCAACAGGTTTTATATGGGAGGAAACTCAAGAAGTATTTGCCGAAGGAATACGTAGTTACTTGAGGAATATGTGGAATTTCATTGACTTCACAAGGAACATGTTGTATGTTGCTGTGGCAGTATTGCGTATTGCTGCATATGTTCAACAGAACAGGGAAATCTCTGTTAATCCTGCCACAGCGTTCATCCCCCGAGAACAATGGAATGACTTTGACCCTCAGTTAATTGCGGAGGGCTTGTTTGCTGGGGCAAACATTTTCAGGTACAACATGTTTTCTTGTTATTGTTGTGTTTTTTATTGTGTTTGTTATTGTAAACTGGAACCCTCGTATATAATTTATTTGTTGTTTCTTTAAATATTTTTGCCAACATAAACTTTTTGTTGCTCCAGAGATGTTATCCTTTTATGTTTTGGATTTTCCAACTGTACAATTTTTTTGTTAAGACTGAAAATATTTTTTTCTTATTTTTTATTTCCCATATGGCTTTAATTCTCATTTTTAGTATTTAATTAGTTAAAACATAAAAAAACACCAAATCCATCTAAAAAAAACTTTCACTATAATATCTCTTTGGAAACTCTTTTGAAAGGAATTTCTTTCCTTTAACACTGTCTTCTTCAATTTTTGTTTTCCTTTCTTCCCTTCCCTTTTATTTTGGGAACCATTTTGTTAGTTTGTTCTATATCAACAACTTTTTGACCTCTGATTTACAATATGACATAAATATCAGTCCCACACACACACAGCAGACTTATTGAATTTTAAAGCTCCTCAAAGCTTATTAAGTGTTTTTTTACTGCTTTTCATAAATGTTTTTAATCATTATTGATTTTCTTCTTTTAGTGCTCTCAAACTTGTGCACTTGTTTTCCATCAATCCTCATCTTGGACCACTGCAGATTTCTCTTGGCAGGATGGTGATCGATATTGTGAAATTCTTCTTCATATACAGTCTTGTTCTGTTTGCTTTTGCTTGTGGTGAGATTATTTTGCTTATTAAACTGCAAAATATTTTAATGAGTTTTGTAAATATGTAAATAATTTATTTCTTTGGTCATTAGTTCTAGTTTCTAATAAATCATCTATTCATTTTGTTAGATTTTCTCATTTTTTCTTCACAGGTCTCAATCAGCTACTCTGGTACTTTGCCGAGATGGAAAGAAAGAGATGTTACCATCTTCCTGGTGGTCTCCCAGACTGGGATAATTTCGGAGATTCCTGTATGAAATGGAGATACTTTGGAAAGTACGAGAAATCACAATATGCTTTGGAAATCTGCTTGGAAGTCCTTCAACTTTGAAAGTAATTTATAAATTTTGATTATGTCTTTTGCAGTTTGTTTGAATCTTCTCAGTCATTGTTCTGGGCCAGTTTTGGAGGCATTGGCATTGATAGCTTTGAACTTGCTGGAATTAAATCATACACACGATTCTGGGGATTGTTAATGTTTGGTTCATATTCAGTGATCAATGTGATTGTACTCCTCAACCTACTTATTGCTATGATGTCAAATTCCTATGCAATTATTGATGTAAGTACCTTAAGATAGTGATTTCTTTTGTATATCTTTGCTTCCTGTTGGTACTGATATTTCTCAAAATAAGTCTCGTGATTTTTTCTACAATTTGTACTAGAAATTTTTTCTTGTAGTAAATTGTTGATTTTAAAACAGTGAACAGTCAACTAAAGTATTCCTATATAGCTATGAGCATTGTCATTATTGTTTTAATTAGTAACTTTAGTTCTATTAATTTATTTTCACATTTCAGGAATTTTCAAAGTAGTAGTTTTGCCAGGCCAGGCACACATCTACCTGGCTTAAATATTAAAACAATATTAATATAGTTGCCACATGTAATTTCTTCACCTTCACAAATCACTTCACTTTCTATTTTAAATGCTGTAATAATTATATATTCTTTCATAGGAACATTCAGACACTGAATGGAAATTCGCTCGCACTCGACTTTGGATGAGCTATTTTGAGGAGTCAGCAACATTACCTCCACCTTTCAACGTTTTCCCGACTCCAAAACTACTTTTCAAAGTTCTGGGTCTTCGCAAGAAAGACAAGTTGAGGCGAATGTCAACAAGGGTAGGTATTGTGAAATATACATTAGAAACTATGGTCATCTACTTCTGATGCTCCCAACATAGTAACCTAGTAATATAAAAATTATTTTAAAACACCAAATAATGGTAGGTATTACATTACAATAAAAGCAGCAAAAGTATTTTGGGTATGATAAGTTGTTGTTAATGGTATTCTCAATAAGTTACAAAAATGTAAATAAGATAGAAGGTGTTGGAAAATACCAGGAAGATGTTTTTTTGAAGTTCAAATAAGTTTTCCTTCAACATTATTTTCCTCTAAAAGGAGCCAATACACTACAAAATTCAAAAATCATTGGTTGAATTCAATACTGAAAATTCAATTTCTGAAAAATATAGATAGTAAGATGCAAAATATAGTCCTTACAATAGCAACAGCAGCATAATATTAAGTAATTTTTTTTTAATTTATGTAATTCAAACCAGTCATTAAGAGGGTATCTTTTCTTAAAAATTTAGCGCAAAGAACGCCAAGAAAAAGAAAGAGATTACAGATATTCAGCTGTTATTAGAGCCCTGGTTTGGAGGTACATCTCGGCTATGCATCGCCATGCTGAAGAAAACCCTGTTACTGAGGATGACATAAATGAAGTGAAAGGAGAAATTTCTGCAATGAAGTGTGAGGTGCTAGAAGTCCTTCAAAGAAATGGAATGGATGTATCTTCAGCTGATACAAAGGAAAAGAGTAAGTCCTCATTACTATAGTACAGTTAAAAAGAAATCTGTGAAGTGCCCACTTCAGTGTGTTCATACACACACACACAAAACAGTCATTAACAGAGCATCCCCAAAAATTTCAAAATGTGATGAAAGAAACGTGATTTGACTTTCAAAAAAAAAAAAAGTCTTAAGAATTAAATGTAAAAAAATTATTTCCAAAAATTCAATCATAAAGAGAGATTGTTCTGTCATACAGTAAAGTAAAAAACTGTGATTTGGTGAAGGTAAAATGCAACATTAACTATTCAGAAGCAATTCAAGAAACCATTCTCACAATTGAGGCATCCAGTGAGAGAAGAAGCTAACCAGCAATATTCAAAACATCAATTTATTGACATCTTCAAAATGTTCATAATCAAATTTGTGCATAAATCAATATTTTGAGTCTTGTGGCTCAGCTTCCTCTCACTGGATACCTCAATTGTTCCAAAGGGTAAAAACACAAATAGTTTGAGTCAGTGGCTCAGAAGTAGTTTGCATTACTAGTTCAAGCAAATAAAAATTTCAACTTTGATGTTTTAAACAAGGTAAAAAGTTCCTTTAATACTAGTAAATAAGTATTGCCTTAACATATATCAAAAAGTTAAGCATTTTGAATCATTTAGAAATGCTTCATGATAATAACAGTTTTCCAAATTACATCCATAAGAACACATTCTGAGAAAATATATCTAAAACTCCCAACCACAGCAGCATTGTTGGAAATAACATCTTTGTTGCAAAAAGAGAAATACTGTGATTTATATATGATGATTCCTCATTAAGTGAAGTGAGCGAGTAGTTATGTAATAAAGAAATAAACAAGTACAATGCTACATTAAACTGAATTCATGTTTGGGTTATTTTTCACTAATTGCATGTATGCAGCATGCAGTCACTTGGCTGCAACAAGCACTTTTCTCAGACTTCAACCTTTGTTTCAGTGATTCTTGGAAAGAAGAATCGCATTTGGGAGCGCAGGCTGATGAAAGACTTCCAAGTAGCACCAGTGGCAGCTGAAGAAGAAATGGACAAACTCATCAACGAACCTCCTCCAGAGAACGAAGACTCCCTAGCTCGCTTCCGGCGAATTGCTAAGTTGGCAGTCATGAATTCCAGTTCCCATAAATGGGGGCAGGTGGTGCATGGAGTGTGTCAGGCGTAAGTAATCTTTGAAGAATGATGGAACCTTTGAACGCTGAAACAATTTCAATCTGCTTTGTCATACACTTATTTATTATTTTATCTATTACCATTAAAATTATAATAATTTATTGTGATGACACTCACAACATAAAAAATATTTTTAATCTTAGTGAAATAAATTTTACTGCTATTGACCCAACTTCAGGCAAAGAATAATAGACTAAATTTACATAACTTCAGACCAAACCAAATATCAGAAGAAAAAAATAATATTGATTGTGTAATAATGATGCTAATGCATATTAATTATATTTAGTTTTGTATAATTCTAAAAGTCTGAATGTTCTTTTAATAACCTTATACAGTCATCTTCAGTTTCTGGGACAATGACCCTCATGGCAAATAGCTTTTTCTGTTCAGTTTCACTTGACTAATTGGGTAATGCTAAGATAGTTCCTTGTTTTGCTATTGAACAATAAATATAGATTTTCTTCTTCCTAACATCACACAGTTTAAACTGTTTTTGATATTACATAAATAAAATTATAAGCATTTTAGTATTTATATATTAGTACATATCACATTATACTATTTATAAACATCATTTAATCTTTCTCATTTTCAGTTACATACTGGTACTCAATAAAATAAGCATTCAAAAGGCAATAGTTTTTACTCACTTCTTTCAAAATAAACTCTTAACTTCTTATGCCACCTCAAGTTCTTTTAACTTGTGAATAAAATATTAACTCTTTTTGCAAAAAAATTCTGTCAGATTACTTGTTCATTACATATAATGAAACAACTGGATATCTTGTCAAGGATTTTATATTTTTTCTTTCTTCTAATGCTTACTAATAGATCACAAATTGGCCGCTGCAACAGCCGAGAATCCTTCAAAAACCAACAAAACTTGCAGAAGGCTATGGAGCAGGCTCGAAAACTTGTCTCCCATAGCCCACTTCACGGTGGTTCTCCAGCAACAAGCGTACCCATTCCCCTGCCTGAAACCACTGGTGCAAGCATCCTGGAGCTCTTGAAGGACATAACGGAAATAGCTGAGGAGACAGAGCAAGAGCAGAGTGCACCCAAGTCATCCACCCAAGGTAGAGAGCACACCAAAAACTAGTTACTTACATAATGAGTGCAAAATGTAATTGACACACTAAAGTCAAAGACACTTTGGTACAAGTTGTGTACATTATTTTTTAGTATGGATTATTGGAAACTCATAAGAAAACAATCTTGGAATCATTCTCAATATACAAGGCAGTAGCTACATTGATTCATGGCACCCCAATGTTTCATGACTTTTCAAAACTGAATTATCTTACATGACCTGACTTCTTTGAGGTATGCATGCAGCAAAATCTATTTTTCCATACACATTCTGCAACACTTTTCAAAGGTTAAACAGTGAAGGTAAGATCTAGTTTCCAGGCATGAGTGCTGAAAACATATTTTACAACATACAGTAAGGGGATATTCCAACTAACATTTTTTTCCAAGCAACGCATTTTCAAAAAATTAATATAATTTAAGCATTAACCATATTCCCAATGCAACAGATGTTTACACCTCTTGAATGAATGTCTAATGAACAAAAGGTCAATAGAGCAATATTTAAAAAAATTGTAACTTTATAAAATTACTTTTAAATCAAAGTTCTTTTTAATTTCCATACTATTAAATTTACTATATAATCTTAATTTTATAAATTTATTAGAATTATAATTTTTTTTTTAAATCTAATGCAAATTCTTAATAAACCTAAATTAAACAAAACACTTTCAATTATTTATAATAGGTTGAGGAATATGTGCTTATAGTAATATCCCCCGTCCCTATGTAACATACTAAGAGAATCCTGAATTCTCAAAGAGAACTCACTGTAGACAATCTACAAGTTGATGGAAAAATATGAAGAAAGTAAAAAAATATTAAATATTAGGAAAACATGACTCATACTTCAAATATTTCATTAAAAAATGTATTTTTCTATTTCAGGTGCAAGTGGTTTGTTCCTACAAGTACAACAGGCTCAGAAATCTCGCACCCCTTCACCAGCCAATACACTTGCCAAAGGCCAAATGAAAGTTGAAGATTCCAAACAAAAATCCTCACCTCCCAGCGGAAAAGCAAAACCAACCTCCACACCTAAAGATAAGGTTACGAAACCAAGTACTCCAGCTGTATCAGAATCCACTCAGCCTAAGGTGGAAAAACCGAAACAAGACACTGTCCCCACAATCCCAGGACCAAGCAAAGCGGCACCGGCTAGACCTACAGAACAGAAAGCAGAACCAAAGTCAGAGAAATCAAGTTCCGGAAGTCCAACCAATGATCCTAGTCCACTTATTCCACCAAAACGTGCGGAAGGGGAGTCTCCTCCAAAAGTAATCAAACGAAAAGCACCTATCCCACTTGCCCAGCCAGAGAAGGAGGAACCTGCTAGTCAGCCAACCCCCACAACAGGAAAAACAGTCCCTGTACCAGTTACAGGATCAGTGGAGAAAGCACGTGAAGCAGAGAAGATTCCTGCCATAACACCTCCCCCAGTTCAGCCACAAAAGGTTGCAGCAGAGTCCAAGCCAGCCCCAGTCTCAGCTCCTGATACCAAACCACAGCAGGGCCCCGCTGGCAAGAGCGACAAAGAGAAACAGAAAGAACCACAGCCATCAACTTCACAGGCATTGCCAACATTCGAACTTACATTAGCAAACACAGAAAACAGCACTAATGCATCAGTGTGCTTGGATATGACAGCCTGCTCCAGCACTGAACACTTAATCAGTGTAGAAAACTCACCCACTCCACTGCGAGCAATCAAGAAAATTGATGATGTAAATACAATTAAGAGGCAGCCCAAAGGAGGCTGGCTGTAAAAAAAGAAGGAACACTCACCATCAGGTAAAATTTAAGAATTTGATTAGAAAGATTGAATTTAAAAAAGATATAAATGTTACAATACTAAATCAAATTTAATCATTTGCATTATCAGACAAATGGTGTACCATTAAATATTTGAACTATATTTCTCTAAATCAAAATTTTAGGTCAAATTTTATTTTAAAACTTTAATATACTAATACTAATAACATTAATCTACATTTTTTAATTCAGGGACAAAAATATTTGGTGTACCTGACTGACACGCAGTGTAAAATTAAAGAGAAGCTGTTCAGAAGAAAACATTACATCTCACTTCAAAGGATAATAAACATTAGACCGCAATATTTAAGACATCATTTCATTGCTTGTTCTTAAAACAATTTTTGCAAGAAATATAAGTTAAAAGTGAAATACTACTCAATACTCATTTATAAAATATTCAAGAATAACATGTTTGATGTTTGTTTTTCTTTCTTGCTTTTAATTGCTTTTGCTTAATTTGTTCTTTTTGAATAAAATCAACTTAATTTCTCTCGGGAAATAGAAGCATTCCATTAGAAAAAGAATTATTAACCTGTTTTCAATATAACATTTTTGAAACCATTCAGAAACAGATCATTGTAATGTACAATGAACTTCTAGTTAAAAATATTTTCAGTGGCTTTATGTATAACTACAGCATTGCAAGCAAGGACAGTGGTATTAGTAAATCAAATAGAAGCTTTATTTTACAATATACTGTAATTATACATTAAATATTATTTATACAATTTTGTTATATGTACATGGCCTAACAAATAAAAATACTTGAAATCCTAGATCTTCCACCAACTTTTAATTCAAAGACAAAATCATCAATGTTTTATTGTATAAAAGTAAAATGTGCATGTGTACTGTTTCCTAAAAACATTTGAAGAATTGCAGCAACTACTCTCAAATTTCGCTCAAATACTTGAACACTTGAACTGCCAAGAAAAAAAAATTCAAAATGTTATCCCAAAATAAGTTTTTATTTTCATTCTTTACAAAGTTTAGTGCACTGCAACCATGGTGCATCTATATGGCATTTATGCCAGGTGAAACGGGGAGATATCCAGAGTGGGTAGTGTAGTGAAGTGGATGGAGCAAGTGATGCAGACAGAGCTATTTAATAAACAATTATGAAAATACATACCCAGGCAATTCTGGTTAATCAACTAGTAAAATAGAACCTAAAAACGCTACGTGACACAGACTTTCTCGTAGTAATTATAACAGTTATGTATAAAACACCTTCACAAAACCAATTGAAACACTGCAAAAGAATATTTACTTTCTAATATTTTCTAAGATCCATTACATAAGAAAATGTTATCTTTGGTTGATATGGCTCACTGAAATAATATAATTTATAATACAACATTTGGTTAATGTCATATTAATATTTTAAAAAGTGGATTTGAGCAAAAAAATGTATCATACTTTTGTAACTTTTATATTTATCAATATGAGACTCTTGAAGTATCATAGAATATTATTAATATATTTTTAATACAAAATTCTGGACAAAAAATGTTGAGCCATTTCTAAGAAAATTATTTATTTTGGGAAATTTGTCATAATTTTATTCAAAATTACAACAAAAAAACAAATATTTTGAGGAAAGTGTTCATTAGGACTAAAGGACTAAATTTGAAAAAATTACAAAAATTTAGCTTTAATAATAGAGTTTAGCATCAGTCAGATGGCCGAGATGGTTAGGTCAGTAGTGCCGTAGCGGCCTCGGACCAAAAGAATGTGGGTTCAAGCCCCATCTTGGGCATGGGTGTATTTGCATATGTCTATATGTGTGTGCTGTCCTTTCATCCCTCACCATCATCATCTCAACATCCATAACCCAGGGCTAACAACCTTGAGGGTTGAAAATCAGGATTCACCTAAAATTCTGACCCCCCCCCCACGAAAGGTACTTACACCAGCTGAAGCAGAATACACGCATGGTCAGAGTTGACCTGAACATGGGAAAAAAGAAAGAAAAGAAGAAAAAAAGAGTTCAGAAAGTTAAAAAAAAAGTTGAACTTTTTCAATTTTGTAAATTTTAGAGTTTTGATGAAAAATTGGACATATTTATATGTGCACTGTCCTCTATTCAAGTAAACAGTTCAAAGAAGTGAATTGAAGACATTAGAAAAAAAATTAAAAATGTCCTGTGGGCTTAATTTGAAGTGCTCTCAAAAATTAACATATACTTTTGAAATTCACAGTGCATTACCAGATCTACGAGGGAGAATCTATTTTGACAGCCGGGGCTCAGGATGAGCAGGAAGAGCCCAGGAGATTGGGGAGGAAGAGGAGGGGAGACAGAGAAGTTGGAGCAAAGGAGCAGCTGGAGCAGGTCGCATTGTTTATAAAAGATGATTGTGACAATCATCTCACCAAAATCAACACGTAATTAATAATTCATATACAGCTTATCCAGATAGCCGAGATCGCTAAGACAGTAGTGCCATGGCGATCTCAGACAGAAGGACCACGGGTTTGAGTCCCACCTATGCCTGCATAGGTGTGTCTGTGTATATCGTAATTCCATATCCCATAGGACTAGCAAACCAGGGGGATAAAATTTGGATTCAGAGTAGAATGCTGATCCTCTCAAAAAGGAGTCACATGCACTTGCCATGAGATAAATGTAACTGAATCTCAAAAAGTCCAGCTGTATGTCCACATGACACTAGCTGGCCAATTCGCAACAAATATAACATACAGAAAAACTTGTTGGAAGTGGTCACTAATGGTTCCAGCAAAATTGGGCATCAATTAAGGTGACTGCTGAATCGTGTTTTACAGTTACTGGAAGTGTCAATTAAATAAATTTGTGCTAATTGCTATGACATGAAGGATGTTCTCTTTAACCTTTTCGCTGCTCTGGACGCCTTATGGCGCGGCACCGGGCTGTTTCTGGGAGCCTCTGGACGCCTTAAGGCGCGGCGACGTGATGTGACCTGCAGCCTCTGGACGTCTATAGGTGCGGCGCGGGGGGCGCGTTTCTGGGGGCTCCGGACGCTTTATGGCGCGCACTGCTCTTTGCTTCTTTCTAGTGAAATTTCCTTTCTACAGAAAGGGGAAAGGTGGATAATTCCGGGTTTTCGAAATATACTATCGGTGAAGGGCGGCTCGCGGAAGCGCTTCCCTTGAAATTTTTTCTTTTTGTTGCAGTATTGTTTTCCAGTTCTGTGTAACACAATGTCTGTTTGCTTTTAAAACGAGAACTGTCCTCTTGAAGACGCGTCACTCAGCTCCTGCAAGGTTTGAACACGTTTCATTTGCGTGTAGTTTTGTATTGGAGCATCTTTATTAGTCTTGGGTTTTATGTTTTTGGTTTGGTTCTTTAAAGTTGTGGTGCGGTTTTGTTGGCTAATTGATGGATTTGAATTTGTTTATCTGCATTCAACATTGCATTTTCTAAATTTTTTTTCATTGCAAGTGTGGCCCAGTTATTTTAGTACGATTCATTCGTTCGACAAGAATGACGTCGCGACATTTTTGCACTGAAGCGGAAATTCAGGAAATTCAGCCCAGATTTATTTCTCTGGCTTCACAAGCGATGCCAGCAAATGCATGTGGTACTCGTACGACAGTAACAGGCGCAATTATGCCTCAACTGGAAAAAAATTAAAAAGGAGGAAGAAGCAGTCCAATGGGGGTTCCCATCCCCTGATACTATGCTCGGTTGAAGTGGTGTGACAAAAGAGAAGCTATGGATGTTGACTACTATTGTAACAACAGCGCAGAAATGATTGAAACTAATAAAATAGAACAGGAGACTGGCCGAAAAGATAAGAAAACGCGCAATGTGTTGTTGAGTTAACAACACAAGTGGTGGGGCAGGTTGACCGTTATGATATGATATTGAGCTCGATACAATCAGAACGTAAGAGCCGTCAAATGGTAAATAGAAATTCTTTTTTCAACATTTTAGACTTGTGCGTATTAAATTCTCATGACTTCACAAATTGGCAAGACAGGACAAACATATTCAATGGCGAAAATTTCAGCTCTCCCTAATTGAGAACTGATTTGAAAAATTTGTCCACAGAATGCAAAAGCTGGAGAGGAAGACGCTCAGAAGACGAAAATGTTCTTTCGTTTACTTGGAAGGCATTTTTTCAAAATCTGATGACCGGTGATCAGTCTCTAATAAGAGTCACGCAAGGGCAAAGATCGTGGTTGTTTGTGCTAAAAAAAAGGGTGCGGGAAACTAAATAGAATGCAAAAGCATGCAATGTTCCTTTATGTGCTGCTCCGTGCTTTGGAAATATTTCACACAAAAAAGAAATATTAAGTCAATGTAACTGAGGAAAAATTATTATAAAAATAAAATCTTGTCGCTAAGGATAAGAAGAAAAGATTTAAACACAAAATAGTTCTAAAAAACAAAAAATATATTTTTAACTTCGCCGGTGTCAGTCCAAAGCCCGATTAAAAAAGAAGGAAGGGAAATGTATTTTCCTTTCACTGTGGCTGCAAGGCGCAGACCGGTCTGGAGCGCACGAAACTTATTCAGCACAGGGAAAGATGGGTCATTCCACTGACTCAGCGCAGGTAGGAGCGCCACCAGGAAAACGGGCCGTATTCCTCGCCGCGCATACCGACAGATAATGTAGCAGCGAAAAGGTTAACATTTTTATATACTACTAATGTCCAAATACAATTTACACAAGGTATTTAGGACCATTCGCCTCTTGGCTAATGGCACGAGAGAGCCTTCACATGTCACTCATTCTCTTAGTCAAGAAATTCATTTTCTGTTCTCTCCCAATCAAACAACAGTATGCAAGTTAGTAAATTACCTTTGGGATTAGCACACATGGAGTGCTCCACAAGTCCTTAACAGAGTTCCACAAAAGGGAAGTATGAATAAGCAAACCATTGGAGTGCGGTGCAATGAGAGAAACAAACACATGATATTCTTTCTCTTGTGACAAAAACAAAAGAACCTAAATAAATGCAAACAGAGGATTACTCAAAATTCACCACTGCTATATGGTGCAATTTCTTCATTTTTTTCAAACTTTTCTTGGGTAGGAGAGTTACATAAAATAATATACATTATTTATTTCAAAATATTTTATTTTAAGAAAAGTTTCCATTACAAATATAATAATCTTTAAAGAGTCAACCTTAAAATATTCAATCTCAGTAACATTAAAACGGCACATAACAATGGAATGTTTCAGTCTTCCAACATACTTTTTCATTTTGAGCAATTTTAATTTTTGAGCATTTTTTTACAATTACTTCCTATGGCACAAACCTTTTCACAAACTCAACATATCAGTAATTCTAGTGCTGAACATATCAAATGCACTTTAAAACTGAAGAAGGCCAAGTTTTTTATGCTCTCTATATTGAAATTGTGCATACAGCAATCTGCCTAATATTACCTGGATGCAGACCATACAAAAGCATTCTGGAAAATGCGCAACCAAGGAGACACCTGGTACTTGTCCTTCCACTGTGGAGGCATCCAGGGCCACTGCCACAGCAGAGTAGCCCTCTCTGGATGGGGCATCATGGCTAGGTGGCGACCATCCGCAGAGCACACAGCTGCAATGCCATCTGTGGCACAAGAAACATAATCAACCACAAGAATGTATTCATTTAAAATAAAGAACGATTTGTCCTCACATATGAGAATACCATGGAATTTTAACTTTAATACTAAAAATAAAGCACAAAACAAATTTATTCGATTTCCAACAGTTTACTCATTGGCAGACTGTATTTGGTATTTATTTTATAGATACAAAATTATATTTTAAAAATAGCAATGTTTTGGAAATTTCCAAAGTGTTGTTTTTTATGTATTATGTATTTTAGTAAATTGCAAACATATTTTATTATTTTGATCTAAACTGCTATCCAGTACATCTTACGGTTACCAAACATACGCAAATATTAAATTAGATACTACAAATATTTTTGCAGAGGTAGTCTTTGTTTCAGTACGGTTATGTAATTAACAATTGATAATTGGCTCACAGCCCTTGAAACTTAGTCATTTTAGCGAACAAAGTTGCTGTTAGTCAATATTTTTGATTGATAAAAGAAACTTACGGATGCTTCCATTCGGGTTCATAGGATAATACATTGTGGGTTCACCATCATCATCGACATACTTTATGGGACAACATTTCTTACTCTCCAGTTTAGACAGAACATCATTATTTCTAAACGTAAAGCGACCTGAGAAAACAAAAAAAACAACATATTCTAGTACTAATATTCGCACCCAAGACAATACATCAAATGAGAACATATTATGGATTTTAAGAACCAAAGATGTTATGTTAACTGCAATTTGTATTTACAAACAAAATTGCATTTATTTCATAATAAATAAATAAATGTATAGTCACTAAATTGACAATTCAATTCATTAAAAATATTATAAATTATAAATAATATTTTTTGAATATTTTCAAGAAACAATTTTGGATACTTGAGTGAACAATCTTGTGCATACATACAAAGAGAAAGTTTTAGAATAAGATTATTACCTTCTCCATGAGCCACCCATACTCCAAAAGAACTTCCCTCCATGCCACGCAACATAATGGAGGGAGAGCTCTCAATTCGCACAGTGCTGAATCGGCATTCGAATCTCTCAGACACATTGTGATCCAACACAATGTCAGGAGAAGGTATTTCATTCTCCAAACCTACACAATGAAAACATTATTCGTAATACTTACACATCTACCCCAAAGACCACTGCAATGATCTCTTGAATGTAAGATGTACTAAACTTGAATGTTTGAACTATTTGAATGTACTAAAAAGAATGTCATAACATATTAATTACAAAATTTGCAATTTAAATTCACTGAATTTTCCAAATTTACAAAAAATTATCAAACATCATATACATATTCATTCACACAAAAAGAACATACCCTGTTTGTCAATATTCAACCAACCAAGCAAACTCATGAGTTGGCAGCCATTACACACTCCCAAACTAAAAGTATCTTTCTTCTCAGCAAAAGCTTGGAATTGTTTTCTCAATACTGGGTTAAACAACAAACTAGCTGCCCAACCCTTTGCAGAACCCAAAACATCTGAAATAAGCAAACAAATACATAAATATATACTACATCAACAAATGATAATTTAGAAAACGGTTTAAAGTCATATTTAATGTTATTCACAAGAGAATATACCTGCATAACTGAACCCTCCTGGAAATATCAACCCTCTGAACTGGTCAGCAGTCACTTTCTTGTTCAGCAAGTCTTGCATAGTGACATCCCAAACTTCAAACCCAGCCATAAATAAAGAAGCTGCCATTTCGCGGTCTCCATTTGTTCCTTCCTCACGAATTACAGCAACACGCAAGGCTGTCAGACAAATTTTAAGAAATTTATTAACTCTTTGAAGGAAATTCTTTTTACTGCACAAAGCATTTGACACTACAGGATGGAGGAAAACTAGATGAATACAACAAACAAAATTAAGATCTTCATGAAGATTAACAAGTTGTGTGAGAGGAAGTGTTTTCTTACAACAAAGTAAAAGTGATGCAGAACATGGAAATATTCTACATTCAGTGAAGTAAAATTTAAACTACCACAAAATTCATCAAGGCAGTGGGCAATTTTTATTTTTTTATTGTAAGTCTTTTAATTAAAAAATAAATATTAACAAAAAATGTTCCCATTAAATTAGGAAATATCTATTTTAGTTCTTGGTATCTTTCAGCAATTATTGCTTTTCCTCCTGAGAAAGAGAGTAATGATTCACAGCAGAAGTGTTGAATTTGTAAGGCCTGAAGGGACACAACTAGAACAGTTAATATGGTTGCGGGACAAATTTCCATTCTTCGAGTGATCCACACCTAACTTCCTTGGATTTTTGATCTGAGTACTTTGCCTGGCTGCTGTGTAGCCCGGGGGACTATACTTCATATCAGGCCCTACCATGCATAATGCAAAGAAATACTATAGGATGATTAGATTTTCAGAATTTACAAAAAAAATTTGGAGTATTGATCTTGGCAGGACATTTGCACTAGGCACTTAATGTTCTCGCCAGACATGAATAAAAGGGATTTTCACTTTTCACTAATAACCTTTCCCAGTCCCCAATAAATAGTACCACGGGCCACATGTGGCCCAAAGTTGCCAGTTGGATAAACCTGATCTAGAGTGCTCAGAATAATGAAATGGCAGGGAAGTAGGGAGTGGCTTCCTTTTCTAACTCTCTTCATTGATAGAAAAGTCTAACAGAATTTTACTCACGAGCAGAAATAGGTTTTTCAGGGCGAGGTTCAATAGCAGGGTTGAATGTAAGTTTGTAGTTTGGGCCCTTCCTAGATCCAAGGTTCTGAAACTCGTGGCGGACACAATCTGGATTGGCCTGACGTCTCTCCAAGCGATAGCTGGTTTCCTCCCATGTGGTGAAGAGAGTGAGGACATCACTCCTCAGGGACAAACTGCCATTCACAGATATTTCCACCTACAAAAATTAAAAAACAACATTCTAATGCATACAAATAGGAGTATTTCCAGTAGCATAACGAGTGTGGGCCCGCCTGCAAACTGTTTATCTGGGCCCCCTTTAAAAAAGTAGCAATAGTCTAATAAACAAGATGGTACAAGTGAAGACAATGCTATCTTCCCCGTAATTCCAACTGCATTTTATTGAAAACCATTGTCGGCAACACTCTCGTCTGAATGAAAATTCAAACCTAAACAACAACAATCGAAAGACAGTTTATGGTTAACAACGATAAAGGCTTTCACCAATGGTGAAAAAATCTGCATTTGTTATTTATATATATATATAATTAATATGTTATAAAACCTAAATGAATTGCTTATCTTTATTAATTTAGAAATAAGGTTACATAAGTTAACAATGCAGACAAAAATTGTTCTGGAAAATGCTGTTTTTAAATTTTTATTGGATCAACTATCACAAAATATCCAACTATCCCAAACTATCAGAGAAGTATGAAACAATTAATTTTTTACCAAATCACAAAACTATCAGTCTAAAAATTTTTTTACCTGGGCCCACCTACATTGCGGACCTTGCGGGTCCAAACGTTACACCACTGAGTATTATAATAACGGAAGTACTTTGTTGCCTTGACAACATTTAAAAAAACTCTTGTACTCTTATTACATTCACTGATAACATTAGTGTAGTGTATAACATTCCGAAATGTAAGTGCTTATATCTTAAAAGCTTGTTTTCTGTTCACAATAATTTTTTGAAGATCTACTTTTATAGAACAGATATCTTTAAGGGAAAAATCTCCATCATGAATATTATACTTCCGCAATGATTTTGTTTGCAATTTTTGAAAATACAGGTAGTTCATTAAAAATGTAATATGTGCCATTTTTTTGTCTTTTGCTCTATTCAACGAAAAAATTTGGAGCAGTTATAAAGATATTTTTTATAAATTCCTTTTACTTCAAGCAAAAATTATATGAAAATATTCACTTTTTTTTTTATTTCATTTTTTTTTTTAAATTATACATAACCTCAATTAAAGATCTAATTGTTTAGAATTCATTCTTAGTGCACGTTTCAGAACTCTGATCTATGGAGGAAAAAAAATTAAATTTTTTACTCTGACTGTGCCATGTGTCATGGATGTACCATATCAGTGATTAGGAACAAGCTTCAGGAGCTGAATTGTAAAGGCACTGTGAAATTCAAATAAATCCACTACCAAATAGTAAAATAAAAATAAATAAAATTATTTTGTAAAAAAAACTAAATGAAGAAAGGTTATAATGGTGAGAGGAAGAGGCAGGATCAAGCTCCCTACTCCTATGGCAAAGGAATCAAAGATGCCTTACAGGTATCTTGCATACATATGCATGATATTTCTTGGAACATAGTGGTATTAATCTTTGATATGTTGTCTCTGTTATATATCAACATTTCTGTTGGTTTCTGAAAACACTGTGACAAAATGACCATAACAAACATCAGAGGACTTGTAAATGATTAAAAGCCTATTACTAATAGTAGAGGAAATTTTGAAATAAAAAAATAACTAAAATTTAGTACTAAAGAAATTGAATTGTGGTCTACTATTCATTATAATGAATTATTAATGTGGAAGTTTGATTTCGCTCCATCATTTTTTACAGATTATCCCCAATAAACACAAGAAATATGGTAATTAATTTGAAAAGGCTTTTGATAAATAAATACCTGAGCATTCATTCCATAAGCTGCACTGCGCCCAATGACAAAGCATGGAACACCATGCGATTTCATCGTCTGTAGAACATACTCTTTATTGTCTGCATCAATTTCCAGAACCCATCCTAATTCCTCGGCAAACAGAACATCAAGCATAGCTCCAGTCTTGTGAGTTACATTAACAACAAATCCACTTATGCCTCCAAAAGCCATTTCCAAAAGACATGTTATGAGACCTCCATCACTTATGTCGTGACCAGCAAGAATTTTGTCCTCTGCGAAAAAACAATAATGTAAGCATGGGTCTTCATTTCTCTCCATAAGGGAAAAATAATGAGAATGGTACAATGTAAAAATACACAAAACAGACATCTGGAAAAGAATGATTAGAATAGTGCAAGAAGATTGAAGCAATAGATTAAAGAGCAAATAAATAAAAATAGATAAAGAAGAATAAATTAAATTTGAAGCCCTACTTATAAATTACTTTTTTGATATTAACAGGTATTTTAAAAGCATCTAATAGCGCATGTAACTTGTGAATAAATAAGCCTTATACACAAATTTAATTAATTGCAAGAAGTATAATGTAGAACAACAAACAAATTAAATTACAATTTTTTTTTTTTTGTTTTTTTTTGCCTATCTTGAAATAAACAAAGCACTAAATTTACTTTTTTATGCCTTTACCTTTAATAAGCTTCTGGGTAGCTTTAAATGCCTGTTTAAACAAAGCTGCATTATCCATATCTGCAGGCTCATCTCCCAGCTGACTATAGCACTGTGCAAGAGCAGATCCTCCCAACCTATTCTTGCCACCTGAGAGATCAACCCAAAGGAGGACACCTGAGTTACCAAGGGCTGGGCTCTTCAGATCGGGAGTTACAACTTTCCTGATGTCTGGGCATGGAGCATATGTAGACACCACCAACGTTCCTGAAGCACATTAAAAGCAAATATCAGAATTCAAATTCAGAAGTAAGTCTTTATAATCAACCTGCCTCAAAAACTATATCATCTCTCATTTTGATGGAACTTTCCTTAATAGTTTCCTTTTTGATTTAAACTACCCATAAATATTATTTCCTAATATTGTACCCCTAATGCTAGAGGGACACATCTCCGAAATATTGTCAATTGAGATACAGCCTTTGTTAGATTCCTCGTTTTCCATTAAGTGATATGCAACAATGCCAATTCTTTTATTTATAAACAGCCAAGTAATAGCATTCCATTTAAATTCAATACCTGTTTTTATACATGCTTGAGAAAACTTCCAAAGGTCCTGAAAATGAGTAATCTTGGAGCTGGTGGCCCTGTTGCATTAGAGGTGCAATATGAAGATCAAAATTACCTTCACAATTAAAAGCACTTGAACATCATTTTAAAGATTTTCAGTCAAGTAGTAAAATAGAATCATGAATCAGGAGATATCTTCTCAAAATATTGTAACTCCAGAATTCTTTAGTTACAATGACAACAGAAAAATTACAGATGTTTTACCAGAAAACAACAGATTAGCATTGCAAGAAATTAATTTATAGTCAAATTTCTATTTCAATTAGATGGATAAATCACAAAGGAAATACAAAATGAGAACTTCAAATCAAGATATATAAGTGGGTAAAATGTTTTTAACAAACTTTCTAAAGAATGACGGATTAACAAAATGTACAAACACTTCAATTGATAAGATTTTTTTGGACACCTATGTCATACTATGCATTTATATACAAGTGCATTCCAATATTCTAGCCAACATCAACATGTTTAATGTTCTTAAGGTCAGAGATCAGTTTTAAAATATTATTTCACTAAATTGAACAATAATATAACCTTTTTCACAAGTATTCACTGGTAAAATATAAAGTTTAAAGAAAAGTTTCATTGAAGTCAGAAGCATTTTAATATAGTTTAACTTTATTGATTGTTTGATTATTTCAAATTTCCGGCCATGTCAACTGTGTTCATTAGTTTGTAAGTGTAGCACATGTTATTATCATTAGAGGTGACGATGTTCTTTCCCACAGAATGACGAGATTTGGCATTGACCCACACATTGGCTTGCAGGGATTCTCCCATCCAGACACCCCCACCAGCAGGGTACCCCAGCTGGGATAAGCTCAAAGCCCTCCACTGGTCTCCTGACACTTGTAAAATAGTGCATACAAGTGAAAGTGTGTGTAAGGGGTGAAGATGGGACAAGGAAGAGGAAGGAAAGATAGCATGCAGTCTGTAACATTTGTTAAGATACTGCACTGGCATTCCTCTGCTATTGATTGGAGAAACCATGGGAAACGAGCAATCAGAGCAGCCATCTGCTAGAATTCTCCTCCGAACAGCAACTAAATTCAATCTAGGTATCTAGTTATGGTCGAAAATCTTACCAAAGCCAGCACCCGAACCCTAGGATCTCCCAGTCAGAGGCGCAGCAATGACATCAGTTGATGCCCTGACCCTCCTCAGCCATGGTTTTAACTTTAAATTAACAATGTGAATTTTATGCAATTACCTGGAGCTTTAACAGTTTCACCACCAACTCGGGCTGCCATACTTAAAGAATCTTTTCCTCCATCTACAGCAACACCAAGTTCACACATCACTTTGCACATGGCAACACATGCTTCATACAGAGCTGCTCCTTCTCCAGGTAATTTAGCTGCCCACATCCAGTTGCCACTGCATTTCACGTCCTGAAGAGTAAAGGCAATCATCACAACTCCATACAACAGCAGCATATTGCAGCAATCCCAGTAACACAAATAATTTTTAGGGATTGTGGTATATTAAAAGGAAGAGAGCTTCAGTCTACGTAGACAGAAGTTTAGTTTTAATGAAAACTTTTTCAAATTTTGAAAATTACATTTTTTTTTTTATAGTTTAGACATAATTTACTGGCTTCCTTTTGACAAACAATTCCAGGGTTTTAACAAATACTTGCACGAGCTGAGTCGTTTCTGGAATTCCAGGCCCCACACTGCCCAAGCACATATTTGCTACAACTCCGGAATTGATTATAAAAAGAAGCGTGTAAATCTGATACAAATGCTAAACGCATATCAATTCCCAATTTTTTTCATAAAACTATACCTTTCATACATCACGTGTTCATATCATGTTATTCAGTGCATTAAGCACTATCCTCACAAAAATTTGAAGCCTTTTAGAGAAAATTGAGTATTTAATATAACACATACTTCACTCAAAATTGTGTGAAAGCTATTGAGTTTTTTTAATTGTACATTACCCTCATTAAAGATCCAACTCTGAAGAATAGAATTTACTAAGGGAAAAAAAATTCAATCTCCAATACTGTAGTTGTAGGATGACTGAACAAATTTTGAATTTTAGAAAATTTAGAGAATTCATCAAAATTGACATGTGTGCCATTTTTAAAAGCATTTTTTGTTCTATCCAAGAAAAAAAATTAAACAAAAAATTTGGAGTCATTTTAGAGATAATTTTGAAATGTTGAGATTTCATGTGAAGTACACCGAAATATCAAACTATCCACTTTAAATTCAAGAGGCCTCAACATCACCCAGATCAATCGTGGAATATCAATTTTGGTGAAAATCCTGCCTACAGGTTAGCTGCTACCAATGTTCAAAGACATATGAATAGCAAGATGTTTTGCTGCAAACCAACTTTTCAGAATCAAGGAGTAATAAAACATCGAATTTGATTACACATCTTGTAAGAGAAGTTATTTACTAACTACAGGAACAAGAATTTTCCACTTCTTTTCTATCAAAAAATCACCATTTTTGATGAAGCATTACAATATATTCTCTATACTACCTTATTAGAATGCGAGAAAGTAAAAAGAGAAGAAAAGAAACAGAACTGAATTTACTTACTTCTTTTATTTCTTTGTTAAATAATTGCAGCAGCAAAACAAGCTGATATACACATATCCCACAATTATCAAATTTAATTGCATGAGTGTATCATGACAATTTCAAAATTTTAAAAATTTCAAAAACATTACCAGTGTCAATACCACAAGTGATTATCGTAATTCAAAAAGTTAAAAGTCATTCATTTCCTTCGGTGAAGTATCAAGACACCAACACTTGTAAATCGCATTAAGAAACTCACCTGAATGTCTGTAATTGCAGCGAAAACCAGATTGCTCAAAGCTTCTCCAACAGTCATCCGGGCTCCAGCAGCAGCATTTATCAGGCCCTTGATCGGCTGCTCTCCTATGGCCGTGGCAATTCCCTCCTGACGAATGGAAAAACAAAAACAACACACACATAAGTAACTAGTGACTTGACAGACATAGAGAGAAACTGTCAGACAGACAGACTGGCCATTTGAGACACCCAGACAGACCATCCACGATAGTCAGACAAACCAACAGACAGTCTATACAAAATTGTATGTATCTCATCACTTGCACCAATCTTAATTATCTCTGAAACAACACTAATAGGCTTTAATCCTGACATGAATGCATAGTTACAGCTCAAAAGAACCTTAAACACGGTCTTTATGATTGGAAATCCAAGACTATTGTTAAGATGTTTCTAACACTTTTCCTCTATATACTATAAGATAGGGTGGAAAAGTAAAATTGCTGATTTTAAAAGTAAAATTAGTTAGAGAACTTAATCAATCAATTAGTTAGCCATTTGTTTTCATTTATTGAGATTCCTTAAAAGAATATGAAAGAACAGGCTGTTAAGTTCTTGAAACAAAAACAAAAAAAAACAGGCTGTTAAGTTTAACAGTATGTTAATTATTATTATTAGAAAGCAAACACAATTTATACATTTCTAAACTTTATGTACACAAGAGTAGAAGCTACAAAAAAAATGTCCGCTTACATGTTTTTAATGTTCAATTTTAATGGTTTAAAGATTTAATTCAAGAGCATGATAAGCAATACTTGAGAAATATTTCATTATATTTTTAAGAAAAATCTCTGGGATGTATTCAAATAACTGTTGTTCTATTATCACTCAATAAACCCACTTACAAAATTGAAGTGAGACAGCGCAGTAACAGCAACATCTGCCAAAGGAGTATGAAGAGGTCCAACACACTGTTGCTGTGCAACTAGTCCTGTTACACAACGGTCAACTTTGTTGGTAAGGAATCGCTTACTTGACACAGATGGCAACCTAAGGACTCTGTCCAAAGCACCAAGAACAGTTAATGCCTTTGGAAAGCTCAGTGACTTCACTATGGATGGCTGGCGATCCAATACAAAAGTCTGAAATCGTACAAAAATTTAAAATATAATTTTAAAAAAGGTTTAGTATCAAAAAAATAAAAATAATTCATAAAGTATATACATTAGTTATAAGAAACATAAATTATTATTTTGTTGATTGCTATATCAAAGCAATACCAAAGTTTTCTTGTTTGATTTGTCTAACAATGTTGAAAATTTATGTTTGTTTGCTGGGTAAAGACGTACATTTAATTATTAGTGCACTGTAATTGCCACCACAGACCCACGTTAATATATAGTCACACTGAATAGAAGGGCGAGATCTGCATTACCCCAATCCTCATTTGCAGCAATTATAACATTCCAAAGACCTTAGGTGAAGATATTGAATTTTCTCATTCACCAAGGTTCATTGAGGCTTCTCTGTGTTGAAGAGATTGGAACACTAATTATCTATACATGAACTTATTTAAATCTTTGTCAAAATAATTGTGTCTCACACAATGAACACAACAATTATTTAGAATCTGCATTATCTAATCTAAAAGATTTTTTTAAATTTAATTTATTTATTGTCGCATCAACTATGAGGTCATTAGTGACATCTTAAACAGTTAACATGGTTTTACAATACAATGCAATAGTGCAAAATTCATTGATAATTTTATGTGTGCTTACATTGTTTTTGAGGACTGCATGTCCATTTATTCAATAAAATACATAAAATACAATTTTATATGCTACTTTTATTACCTTTCTTGGCATTTTTCCCAGCACCAATTCAAGCTCCAAATCAACAGGGTATTTTGCTTTTTCCTTCTCAAAACTTCCATCCAAGAACTTTTTATCATCAGGAACTTCATCTTCAGAAAGGATAACCTGAAAAAAAATTATTAATTTTCTTAAATGTATAAGATATAGTTGTTTAATTTATTTTCTTTACCAATACTCCAGAACGTGTACATTTTTGCATGTTATCGGATACAGAAATGATGATGACTCCACAAGCCATGTGAGAATATTATTCTCCTGGGCCTCCAGTTGCCTACTGGGGGCAATAGCTCTACGCGCTCTGTCGTGGCAGGTCGCATCTGTCATATTTACAACAGGTGAGCCACAAAACAGTATGAGAGTTGGTGATTGTTAGGAAGGTTATGTGGATGTTTCTATGTCAAACAAAATACCTCAAACACTCTACTACATTCAGGAGAACATAATAAAGCTATCATTCAACAAACTCATACACAGAAACATCTTGTCCTACGAGTAATTATATTTTAAATGAAATCAGTTCAAATAAAGAGCCAACTCCATGGATAATAAATATTAACAATTGCTCTAATTTCACAATTAATTTTTCCAAAAAGAAAATCTAAAATATTTATACTTATAATACTTGTTTTGTTTAGTTGTTTGTAGTTAATGTTATGAAATATTTAATGAATGAAGTAAACAGTACAATAAATGTAACATTATTTCAAAAAATTAAAACTTTTCAAATGTTTTCATTTAGTATTTTTAAAACATCAATTTCAAAGATGTAGAGAAAGTGAAGTCTTCTACTCGTGTAGAATGGCTATTATAGAAATTCATACACGCCCTCATGTCTTATACATCAACTAAAGAATAATAGCTATCATTCTATACTTGTCGAAGAATATACTATTTCAGACATTAAAATTACACTCACTCTGCCATTATTTAAGACAGTTCCAACAAAGTTGACTGGGCACTTTTCTCTTTCACCAATTTGTTTTAAGATGGGTACATCTTCAGCCCGACACAAGAGAGCATCATTTTCTTGATATTCTGCTCCCCATAGTTCCATGGTGCTGATTGTTGGATCTCCCAACTGGAAGTTACGGGTGAATATGACAGCCCCAGCAGGCTCCACCAGTTCTTTCAGTACATTGCCTGAAATGAACAACAAATATAAATTAAATGGAAAACTCAAAAATTTCCTAAAAAGGATCTAATGTTAAACCAATTTTATGGGGGAAGGTCATTATATGTCACTAGTGAAAACATTTAAGATGGCACATGGCAAATTCAGCTTTCAGTTTTCCATTAATTATTTTTTCCATAACACTGTAATGTTTTGATCAAAACAACATAACAAAATAGAAGAACAAAAAGCCACTCTTAATGCCCACTATTATTTAAGAGTTTTAACTGCCCACCATGAAGAACAATCTAACTTATCAATTAAAGCTAAAAATGGCATTTTCGTTTTAAATGATTTTTAAGCTGCCCAAAAAATTGTGTGCCCAGACAGAAATTGAACTCGCATCCCAGTTGCTCTACCATTAGCAACAATATATGATAGCAAAACATATGAATATTAATACAATGAGACAAAAAAAAGAGTCAAAACTTTCCAAATTACATTTTTTAGGACAATTTCAAAATAATCACGGAGAGATGAAATGAAAAGAGTTGATAAAACTTTTTTAAAAAGACAACATTGTTTTAGAAATAGAGAAATACCCAAAGTGGCAAGAACATATGAAACGAATGAAGATTGTTTTCCTAGAAAAGTATTCAAATACTGCCAAAAGGAAGAAGATACCTAGGCTGACCAAGAAACACTGAGAAGAAGGAAGCCCTGGAAACCCCTTGGAAGTGGCTATAAGAATACTGAAAAAACTAATAGGAACAGTCTCCAAGGCCTAACCTTATATGCCCATAATAATGAATGATGATGATGACAAAAAAATGTCCACGATATACTAACCATTTCCTCCAGCTCCTTGGTCATGAATACTACATATTGGGTTGGCATCACCCATTTCCAGACAAGCTCGGATCACTCGATGAAGTTTCTGCTCCATTTCTGCATCTCCTCGTTGAACTGCTCCAAAATCTAATTCACTTTTATTGTCTCCTTGAACCTGTAATAAGCAAAATTATTATACCTTTTCATAAATTAATTATTCCATTTTAATTTGCTAATGAACAAAGTAAATACAAAACTACAAAATAAGAAAAAAGAATACCTCCACAGAACTTGCAGATCCACCACCTACACCAATTCGATAAACAGGTCCGCCCAATTTGACAACTTGCATCCCTGGAATAATCCATCAAAGAATTTTAACTTGTGGAATATAAATACGTCATAACCAGAAATAATGTAGTATTTAGTTTCTCGCAAATTGTGCTTCTTCCCAAACTGTTTTTAGTTTTATTCAGTTATTCAAATATTAAATGTTAGTAAAGACTTCTCTTTTTTAACAGATAATGTCACTAATTAATAACACACTTTTTACTTCTTGCTGTTTCTTGTCTCAAATACATATCCATAATTAACCAAATTAATATTTCACATTAACAAAAGAAAATAAATATAAAAGAAAAGATACACAACAGAATTCTTATTACCTTTCTCTGGAGCGAGTTTGCTAATCATATTTGCATCCAATGAGCCAACACCTCCACTGAACATAATAGGCTTAATCCATTCTCTACGTTCACCAGATGAATCAACAAGTCCAAAAGATCTGGCAAATCCACAAATCACAGGCTCACCAAATTTGTTGCCATAATCTGAGGCTCCATTACTGGCTTCAACCAAAATTTCCAAAGGGGGAGCGAAGTTGTTAGGGTAGCTCTGAGTTCTATCTTCCCATGGTAAACGATAATCTACAGAAAAACAAGTTTTGTGTGTTTAATGAATTTAACCATAGATAGATTGATTTATATAAAAATTTAAGCAACGAACTTATGAAATCACACCTCAATAGACTATACTCCTAGGCAGTTAGCAATACTTGTGTAGTGGTATACTTAAGAATAATTACCAGAAATTAAGAAAAATTACAAGAAAAGCAAAACATTGCATGAGAAAGGAGGGAAAAAGGAAATCAAATTTAAACTAGCTACTCTCAGAAATAGTCTCCACGGAGACACAGTAGCCATGTTTTATTTATGGAATTTAAATTGATTCAAGCACAAAATCCCTATAAATATTTCCAATGAGTTAAAAAGAATGTCAGTTATGCATATTTTAAACAGACTTAAAAGTATCGGTAAATTCTTCGGGTAACACCTTCTTTCCTAATACAAGTCCAAATCTGATTACATGCACGTAATAATTACGGACACCAAAAATGTTTTTCCCAGAATTTATAAGTGAAAAGAGTGGTGTAACACAGCTTTCTTCAAATTAAAGACAGGAAATTTTCAAGTAGAATTACAATAGAATCATAAAACTTTTAATTAAAAATCCAACCACCAAGGAACACAAACCTGGAATAAGCAAGTTTCCAACAGAATAGCCAGCAGTGCCAGCAATATAATGCCCTCCTCTACCAACTGCATGGACATCACGGATTCTCCCTCCAGTTCCTGTTGTGGCACCACTGGACAAAAATAACAGAACTATCAGGTTAAAATCAGAATTCATTGATGCATTTGTGTTTCTGACATTTGGGATATGACATGTATTGATTTCACGAACTTACTTTCAGCACTAAAGATATTTGTGATCACACATTTGCAATAATCATAAACCATAAATTCCCCTAAAATGGGATTTCTTTTCTTATTATTATTTGTTATTTATATGTGACAACAAATACATGTTAACTAATACTTATTACAGATGCACTGCAACAATGTTTTGATATTTCATATTAAACTACAGTAGAACCCGGTAATCTGAATTACTTGGGGGTGTAGTCTATTCAGATTTCAAAATGTTTGGATTATCCGAAAAAATGTACCGTACATATACAAATACATTTATAGGATTGCCAGACAATGCAACGCAGCGTGCAACGTGAGTAAATGGCAACATAGTGTAGCGATTGCATCACATTATTAAGCAGGTTCAGCAAAAGATTACCAATTTTGCAAGTTCCTCTATGTAAAAATTACTGCTACATTAACATGTGATATACACCATAAATCTTTAAAAACTTAAATAAATATATTTTCCTATCAATACTTTTTTAATATCAAAATAGCATATGGATGTATGAATGAAGAACAAAATAGAATAGAATCATTAGAATCAATTATAAAATAATAAATCATAATCATAGAATGCGCTTTTGCTGCTTAATTTTTAATATCACATGGTATCGAGTATTGAAGCTCTCAGAGAAGTATCGAGAAATTCAGGTATCAACTTTTCACTAATTATTTAATTACGTAATTAGTTAACTATATGTTAATAGTTATTGAGAAGGGTTTAATAATGAAATTAATATAATAATACCATCAATGTATGTGCTTTATTTATTTACTTCTGTTTCAACATTCCTACCATGCCTAAATAAATGTCTTTTTCATTTCTTTTCTGCACAGCGAAATCACATTTTTCAGAAGTTTTAAGAAAAGAATAACTTAATGCATACATTATATATCACAGACATGATCAACAATAAGAAAATTAAATAATTCATCTAAATCATCTTAATGCATTTCAAAATAATTTAAATGTCCCTTTCTGAAAGGTAAAGTTTGTACAGACAACATAAAAATAAATTATTTTAAAGAGTAAATATCCACTTTCTTCCAATCTACAATTTTTTTTAAATTTTAGGCTATTTGTGAAGTCAAAAAAGAAGGTCAATTTTAGGTGTTTTGTAGGTCATAAAAATACCAACCCCAGTAATACAATCAATTTTTATTACCTGAAAGGAGCTACTCCAGTTGGGAAGTTGTGAGTTTCTGCAGTAAAAATTAAATGCGACAACCCATTAACTTTGTTAAAACTACTTGCTTCAGTTGGATTGCTGGGTTGAAGAGATGATACTTCAAAACCCTTAATGGCACTAATAAAAATAATACAATTAATTGTATTCATTGAACACTATTAATAACACATAAACAAAAATTTCATCAAATAGTGGTAAACTCCACAGAAACACAAAACACTTACCTACTATTATCACTAAATTTAATCACATTATTTGAATTTGATGAATTTTGTGTGTCGATAATCATGTCAATAAGAGAATCAGATTGCTCTTTACCATCAAGAACCATTAGGCCCTGCAATAAAACATTTCTTTGGGCTCACACAAATTTAAATCATTTACACACATTTTTTTTTCTGTCAAAATGTTGATGTGATTTATTTCCCTTTTTTAATGTCTAAGAAAAATGTTATTTGTTGACATATTTCTACTTTATTTGTATTGGCAGAAAATTCACATTTCTGCTTAAAGTTAAGTTTCTGCTTCAGTTTCTCTTAAATTATTGTTACTGTTGTTTTCAGAGAAAAATGTTGATTATTCTCATTTGTTAAATAATATAGGTAATTTAATTTTCTAAATTAATTATTATCTGTGACATACAGGGAGAAGTATAATATGTGAAAGTTTTCATTAGCTCCAAAATATTTACTCTTCTCTACATCAAATAAATTAACATCAACAAAATATAATACATAAAAAAAACCTTGGACTTTTTGTTTTACTAATAATTTTGAATGTTGTTTTTACTTCCACCAATGAAAAGTGAAAAAAATTATGGCACGTACCTTAAAAAACCAATGTCGACTATGCTCACTATTTGATTGAGCCAAATCAAAACATTCTACACTTGTTGGATTGCGCTTCAATTTATTCTTAAACAAGTCAGTGTAGAAATCAAGATCCCAATTGTCAAAAGCTAAACCTAAAAAACCCATATCAATATTAACATTAATACATTGGCATATATAAAAAATTGATATACTAATTCAGGAAGATTTTTAGGTAAATTGGCAACAAAAACAAATCTGAGGCATACATTACATATTATATAAATTCTCACTCAGATTAAAAAACTTTATTATTAACAATTTTTAATATGTAATAACTAAATGAGTAAAATAATAATTTGTTTTCAGTTATTAGCTTATGTAGTTTAGTCCAAAATCTGACTGATTATGTTTCAAACAGTGATATGTTATTGGTTGTAACCACAACAAAAGAGGCATATACCGATATAGAAAACAATTCATATGCCTAATTGATCGGAAAAGACTGAATGATGGAAATAACATTAGGCATTCATTTTTTTATTATAAGTTGACTAAACTCTCTATTTGATTGAACTGTATCAAAATAATACTTGTTGGATTACATTTTAACTTGTTCTTAATTTATTTTCAATTCCTTGTAATGAAGTTTACAAGTGCCAAAGATAACAAAAATGCTGTTTCTCGTTCCCCTTGGCATTAAAATGACTTATATACATAAAGAGAGAACAAAACTAATGTATGTCATTTTAATGGTCTTGGTTAAGAAATGACATCAGTGTCAAACTTCCACATTCACAACAAAATTTCAATATCATTTTGACCATCCAGTACCCACCTAATTGTTGGTTTACTTCCTCAAGTGCTTTCCTTCCTTCTTTTAGTATGTCAACTTCAAACCATGGTTCAGGATGTATTCCTAAATCAAAACTCTCAACTGGCTTCAGATACTGACATTCAGTCATCCGATCATGAAGGACTCCAGAAACCTGTCAGCAATTTAAGCAGACATCTTTAGAATTTAAACACATTTCCAACAAAAATTTATGGCTTGTATAATTTGTATTTTGATGTGAAGTAATATTCATCAGAAATTTTCTTTTATCTCAATCACACAATATAGTGATGACATAAAATAGAATTATTTTATTAACATGGACTTCAAATAATTCTGACAAAAATTTGACAATAACATGTAAATTATATTTCTAGGACTGAATGGAATAACATCCATTTGAACAAATGGAATAAAATCAAGGATGCACAGTTTTCAACTTTCACAATTTTTACGAAAATAATTTTATTAAATATCTATGAAAGGAGCAGTATCTACATTTCATTTCTTCCAGAAAAAAGTCTTCATAATTACCTGCTCAACCAAACTGGGTTTTATAGACAGACCTTTCTGCTCCCACACAATCAAGTATCGCATGGATACTTCCAACCGTGTGATTTGTTTGAGCCCAACAGAATGACATATTGACACAGCATTACTTGAAAATGCAGTGGAGAAGTTCAGTCTAGAAAGAAAAAAAATTGTACTTATAACTACTAAAAACTTTTTAAATGAAAGACTACATGTTATGACAGTCAAAATGCCCCCCGAAAAAGTAAATTATGACACATAGAATCTGAACTAAAGTTATAAGCTAACTAGTGGCCTGCAGCAGAAAAAATTCTGCTGAACAAAACCATACAATTTTTTTTAACACATGCCAAGAACAAAAGACTCGCATACAACACTGCAACAAATTAAATTTTTAACAAAAACCTCTTCATGAATACTGCAATAACATAGTGAAATCTATACAGAATGACCCACCAACTATGGGCCACCTCCATAACTTATGAATGGTTCACTATATTGAAGTGCAGTTTTTGCTCAATAATGTGGAATCGTGGGGCAAGTAATATGCTTTAGAGATATTGTTTGTACTATTTTTCATTTTTGAGAAATTTAATCTTTGATTTTCTAAATGGAACTATATTAGTCTTATCCACAACAGAAAGATCATAAAAAGATGAATACAATGATGTATCTTATGTTAGTATTTGAATAGTAATTTGAATATAAAATTATTCTTTCTGACGTGATTTTAAATTAAATATAAGTCTCAGTATCGCAAAGGCCACCTTCCCTAAAAGCAACAGTTGCAAGGGCTGCTACACAAAATAATGTCTGTTTAATTCAAAATCTTAATTTACAAAATCTAATTTTATACTCAAATTACTATCAAAATACTAACATATGATATATCACTCTATTCCTCTTTTTATGATCTATCTACTGTTGATGAGAATAAGTAGGGCATTATAGTTCTATTTAAAAAATCAAAAAAGATTAAATTTTTCAAAAACTAAAAATATTTCAAACAATACCTCTACAGCATATTACTTCCCCATGATTTGGCATTGTTGAGCAATCGATACTGAGAACCAATTAGAAGTTAAGGGATTGGCCCATACTTGGTGTGAGACCTGTACAGATCAACAATCCTATACAAATCAAGAATATCAAAGAAGATCCCATTTTACTATTTTGAAGAAAAAACAAAAGAAAGGTTTTATTAACTCATGTAGAGTGGAATTAAAATATCAGTATTTTAAATATATATATTTAAAATATTTTAATTTTAATTTTAATTTTTTTTTATCAAAAGACTTGTCCCTGCATAGTATAAGTAATTATTAATATGTTGTTGAAGAGGTTGATACTTTGACATTATTAATGAGACAGATGGTGTCTAGGTATCCAATGATTTAATGACTCCTGGATCGCATAGTGATTACTATCAGAGCTTGACTTTTTTTCAACTGCACTATTTAATTTTAGTTTATTTATCTGTTATTTCTACATTTTATACATTTCTTTTATTTTGTAAAAGTCACGTTTCACTCTGATGATGAACTCTTGACAGTCTAAAAGTGTTTAAATCATAAAATCATTAGATACCTTGGCAACACCTATCTATGAAATAATTAATTTTCAATTGTAACATTTGCTAATTTCCTCGTAATCAGTAAATTAAAATATTCTTCACAATAATCCAACACAAGATCCCTACTTGCTGTTATTTTAAGAGAAACTTCTAAGTGATTCATAGGTAATGTCCTAAATGTTTGGTGAGTTGCTAAGGCAAATAAAATTGGAAGCACTGAGATTTATCTACAATGATGTCACATTTCATCTGACTTATGGCCCCACTAAGATGTTAGCTTTCTCAAGAGGGCAAGGTCATGTTTGAAATGTTTCTTATGATAAGTTGAGAAATTACGAAAATTATGTAATATTTAATACCTATACAATATCTATATAAAAAAATAAAATAAAATAAAAAAAACACCCAATCTCTACTCTCTTACTATCTGTGAAGTAATTTTATAAAAACTAGTATAGCCTTCTTTTATTTTGTGGGAGGATATTTTAAGGATGTTTTCTATATTTAACATTGAATGTACTGATAAACATTATTACATAAAAATTAAAAAAAGATTGTTTAAATGATATTAACTATATGATATAACTATTTGGATTTTTCTACTTAATTTAACTTTAACTACTTTATGTAAACAAAGACTTCCAGCAAAAAAAAATCAAGTATGCTCACTAAAAACCTCATGGAATCAGGAGTTAAATGTTTAATAGTTGCAACTGCTTCACTTAATGTTATCTTGAAAAGCAATTTGCATGATAATATCAAGTGTAACTGATTTTTGTGCTGGCTAATAAAAGACAACAGAGAAAGTAAAAACTTGCAGACTCTATATTTCTTACCAATATTATAGGATATATAATTGAATTTTTTCTATTGGCATCTTTTTTAATGAAAATTTCCCAACAGCTCATGTATGTGCTGAAAAGGACATTTTTTGCTGTGGGAACCGACACATACAATTTTCCACAATGAAAACATGAAATAAAAAATAAAGCTAAGCTTACAAAGATAACTAGTAATTTGCTTCCTATATTACAGCTATTTGTCAACCTAGTATACCTAATAAACAACTCCATTCTATTAAAAAAAATTACTTCAATAACTTTTACTCATTTCATGCAATATGTATAGGTCTTGGTGAAGGTTTTATGGAACAAAACAAAAAAATGCAATCTGAGCCATAAAACTAATAAAGTTATGTTTCACACTAGTGTTTCTGGCTGCACCAAGATATTAAAGAAAATAACTGGAAAGTTAAACGTAAAATTACACTCAATTACTCTCCCTTTTCTATCCCTCCATTTTCCTGGAACGAGGTAAGTATCTCTTATATACCTTTCTACCCTTAACATGGTACCTACACATGTACTACCTGCTTTACAAGAAGATAGATGGAACCACCTTCAAAGAGTTTCATTGAATATTTCCCTTCATTTCATTTCTTAAATAAAGTATTACAAATGCAACATTTTTACTTGCATTAAAAACATTTAGATCAATGGACAAACTCAAACTAAGCACCCTGAAGTGTTTAGAAAATTTATAGAGACCATATTAACATTCACAAGAATTACATTCACAAATAAAGAAAAAGATCAAAGTCGCATTGAAATATAAATTGATACAACAAAGAGACCTGGGGAGACCAAAAAAGAAATAGAATAGGAACATTTGGAGAACTAAAAACACACCACATCTATTGGGTAAAAGAAATAGGTAACATGCCTAGCAACCTGATGATGATGAAAGTAACTTGTCTCCCTACCTTGGTCCAATTTCAATGAGCAAATCTCCCAATTCATCTCCAGCTAAAGTAGGTTCAGATGAGAGGTTTTGAGGCTCAAACGGTGATGACAGTATCCACTTCAATTTTCCTTCTTCAGCACTTGATAGTGGACGGTTTATTTCAACATTGAAGCACAGTTCACTCTTCAAAGCAGCAACAATCGGAATTTCACGTTGAAGCTGTTTGAGCTTAATACTTGTAGCCCCTCCGGAAAGTCCAGGCACACGGTAAAATCGAATAATGCCCATATTCTGTTGAATCAATGAGCAAATAAATATTTAATATTTCACTAAATAATTTTAATAATCTCACTAATAATTGCACTTCTATAAAAGGGACATTAACCTGCCTCAATCAGCAACACTACCCCTAGAAATAAGGACTGAATTTAAAATCCTCTCAGTTTTAATACATGTTGAAATATAATGACGTCAAAATATCACTATCTGAACTCTGCGTCAAGATGCATTACGTAGAGATAGCCTTTGAACCGAACAAGTTTGTGTAATAGTCAGTGTCAGTTGATTATGAAATTGAGTGTTCTATACCAATCTAATTAAGTTAAGGGTAGTATGTAAAGGCAAATTTTGCAACAAAATCAACAGATCTGATATTTCCTGAGAATACACTGTATCAATTTAGGCAAGCTTTGCAACTAACTTGCAAGAGAACAAATGTGTTGAGCTAAAATTTCCTATAAGATTCCTCCTGGCTTCAACAAAATTATCCATTAAAACTAATTTAAACATTGTAACTTTTCTATTCCAATTGATTTCCTATGATGGCTAATGGCATAATGTCTCAAAAAATTAATGACACTCAAGTTGAAAAGTTGAGCTTGTCTAAATATTTGGAAAAACAAAACCAACCACCGGAGGTCATTAAAAGCAAATTAATTCTATTACAAATGTATACATTCGATTTCACAGTATCAAATGACAATCCTTTGATGTCCGTAATTGGTGCATTTATAATAACTGCATAATATAATTATTGCTATTTAAAGTAACTTGTTATTGCATCAGAAATCGCCGCCCTAGGTGGTTACATCCAGGTTGTAATAATAATTAATTTCACGAACAGAAAACGTACCCAGAAATCACTCGACCGCTAAGCTGCCTGCTGCAAGACACCCACGCTTTTCCCGCCACCACGAAGCGAAGGAACAGGTGAATCGAAGGTAATCCACCGCGGGCAGAACCACCTGTTGTCAAAAAACTTTTGATTTTCTTAAGTTGGCAACGGTTTTAGCGTTGCACAGTGTTCTAAATGTATTAAGTCGAAGGTTCATCTGCATGGTTATGGATGGTCAGGGACTTTTAGCGTTAAATTTGGTTTAGAGAAAAATATATTTTTCATTTCTTTCGAACGTGATAAAATTCGGGGCCTGGGGATAAAATTCAGCCCAAGCTGCCCCTACCCTTTCAGGACGCCCCTGGCAACTTCTATTGATGATGATGATGATGATGATGATAATAATAATAATAATAATAATAATAATAATAATAATAATTATTATTATTGAGTCACATATACAATTACAATCGTTTATGACGAGTCAATATGTTGCCTTTGGTGGAGAGAGCAAAGTTACACTACTGTTCGGGAGCAAACAAGGGGCCATCTCAGCATTTGCTCAAAGGACCAGGGAAACTCAGATATTGCTTTTTGTTGTTGTTGTTTTATTGTTTGTTTGCTTTATAATGAAAATTGGTTCTTAGTTTTTCTAGCATGTCGCTACAGAGTGCCAATCTAAAACTGTGGAGAGTTCTTTCTGACATTCAGCAGAGATGGCAAATACTGTAGATATATAGTATTATACTATACTCTGTAGTATTTGGAGATGGTCAACCGGCGGCCTGCAACCTTGTTTTATGCGGCCCATAACATATTAAAAACATTAGGTTAATATTTCATTATTCAAACAAATTCGCAAACTTTCTCGTAAATATGTTTAGGAGATCAAGCAATGTATAAATCTTAGAACACATTATCTGATCTATAGACGAATATACAGAAATGGTGACTTTACACAATTAGCGGAAGTATTACGGACATGATACGGACGTACGCTGGTTAAGCAAAGGAATTTGCTTTAAATGATTCTCTTTGTCAAAAGAAGTAACTGAATTTCTCATTGATCATGTCAAAACAGTTTGTTGAAAATGAAAGAAAAGCTTGTTTCACATTTTGTGTTTAACTTAGCTTTTATAACAGACATAACTCAGCACTTGAATGACCTGAGCTTGAAGTTACATGGTCAAAATCAAACCATACCCGAATTAGGTTAGGCGAATTAGGTGGGAAAAATAAGTTGACTTAATGAAATATTAAGTCAACTGAAAATTTTCAAATCCACCCACGAAAGACAATGTAATTCATTTTCCGCAGAATGACAAAACTTGACCGTGCCTAGGTGTTGTCCAGACTTACAGATATATTCTCAGCTTCATCGACATCGGTGCCAGGAAAAAAGCAAAACAATGACGGAAAAGGCAAAATACCAAAAATAGGCACCAGAAGCCAAAAAAAGCAAAATAAAAATCAATTAAAACAAATCCAGAAGTACAATTAAGTGACTCCTGTTGTTAAAAGTAATGAAACCATAATAACACCAAAAAGGCATTTTGCTAAACTTCAGGGCTCTAATCATTATTTTTACTCTTCCGCCTCTCCGAAATATTGTCATTTCTGTTTTGTTTATATTTATCTGCAATTCATTTGCACTTGCTCATTTACTTAGGGCATCAATTTACTTTTTGTCTTCGCTGTCTCTTGAAGCTATTGCTACGTCCTGTACACAGTTTAGTATTTCGACCTCTGCTTCCGTTTTACTTTCTCTCCTTTACTTCGTAAAAGAAAGTACTGTAACCGTGCGCCGCAAAATGGCGAATCTTCTACAGAAAAACTCATATACGAGTAGTCGGGCCCTGGTAACGAATACGCGAATAAAACTTGTAACTTGTTCATATGAATAGTAAATTATTTCCTCTAACACGTTGTGTAATTAGAATTCACCTTTTGTGGGTTCTTGATTCCGAACTAGTGGTGCTACAACCGCACATGCATTCTCGCATTATTTCTAACTGTCCCGCTATATTATACTACTACATAAACATGCAAAATGTTTACATTCATCAGAAGTAATTTTTTGCACCCACATTTGAACTCAGATCCTCCTGAATTTACTCGCCGTCAGCCATATCACTACACTTCAGAAGGACGGTAAGTGTTGAGGACCGACCCCTAAAAATGTAATTATCTCAACCCAATATGTCTAACACGCAATTTTTGAAAATACTGAGAGTTCGCCGAAAATGGGACAAGTACCATATGTTTAACGTCTCTTGACATAGGATACGAGAAGAAAATTTAAAGAAAAATTGACAAAAATCAAAATATACGGTTGAAACTCCCAAAGCATCGAGTTCGTTTAGATCGATCGGGAAATATCAATTTGAGAGAAAATTGTCTGAACAGTTTAGGCACTAGCGTTGATCACTAACGGACAAACAAACGTTTTATCGGTATCAAAGACCCAAAAAATATGTATTCTTACTATATAATTTTCTATATGCTACATTAAATAGCATACACTTCTCACAGACGTGATAACGAAGTAATTCCTAAGCATTTTAGGATCCTCTAGGTTCCTTAGACTTCCACAGTGGACCAAGATATTCCTTTTCTGTATTTAGTACCAGCAACGCTAAATTGTCAAAGTAATCGTAATTTACAAATTTTGTGTAGAGCGTAATAGAGCTGAGAGTAGTTAAGGAGATAGTAGATCGCTCGACACTTGATCCTCCCGTGACCCCCAACATCTTAAGACTGTGGATCTTTGCCTAGCACCAGAGGTTCCAACCACCACTGGCTAGATTCTGGCGTTGGGTACTCCATGAAGTTGGGCTACCAGGGGGATGACTGGTTGGTGTCTTTTGTAACGTCGTGTGTAGGGATCTACACCACAAGGAAACAGACACGAGTGAGTATATACAAGTTTTATTTACACACTGTACATATTTACAACCCTCACTCTAAGGCGGTTTGCCAGAGCTACCACTGCAGCCCTCCTCTCCCTACATGCGCCTTGCGGCGACGCCTACGACCAGCCGGCAAGGCCGCGTCGTAGATTGGCACCTGGTGTGCCCCGGCAGATTGACGATCTGCCCGAATGTGTTTGAAGAACACATCACCCTGTCCGAACTCGTCGAACAACCACGTGCCCTCGGCACTCCGCACCAGCCTGGGCGGACAAAGTTTTTGTGGTCTAGCCACGAAACGTTACCCACTCGCGCCGTCTCGCCACGGCGTCTTTATAGGTCCAGGTCACCTGACCTCCTACGTCACTACTCCCCACCCCCGCGCGGTGGAAAGCCTTTCCCTGGCGCTGCCTGGCCCGCGGACCATTTCCTGTCGGAAGGTCCCTTCTTTGTTCTATCTTTAGATCCCCCAGCCCTCTACCTTGCACTCGGCTGCTGCCAAGCCGTGACGCTACACTTTCCACCTGTTCCTCCCCTACTTTCAGAAGGCTAGACCCATCCTCGTGCCGGACAGTCACATCGACCACACCGTGCCACACAGCCACACAGTGGACCCCTTCCCGGCTTTTTATTACCAGGCCAGGTTTGAGTCTAACTCCTTCGGCAACGTAGAAGTGGCTTTCGTGGACACCACGGTGTCTGATTTTCGGAGTGTCTTATCCTTTATGAAGTTCTTGATCTCGTAATGACACTTTATTCTTCCTAGCTTAGTAAAAATGCATTGACCCAGGTTATGATTATGGTACCGATGTATTACACTTCCTGTAGTTAACATCCTCTTTGGGCCTTTCTCTACTAAGGGATTTATTGCCAGCGGTATTTGATCTCAATTGGAGTGCAGTGATAAAGAAGACCATGTTTCAGAAGATTATAGTATTTCAAAAAGGCATTTCCAATTTAATCGTTTATATGCGCCTTAACTCCTTCTATTCTCATTTCTAAATTGGACGAGATCGATTCCCAATTCTCTTTCCTTGCACTATGACGGTGAAACCGAAAAGGCCTTAGGCAGGTTCTGCCTTGTATTTTTTTTGGCAGTCCCAACTTAAACGCTTTGTTTTCTCCAATAGTGCTTAGTGCTTCACATGCCATTTCTCTGCCTGCCTTTATTTTCAGAGAATTTCTGAATTTTAGCAGGTGTAGTTTGTGGTGATAATCTTCAAACTAGGCGTTTTGCTCTGCTGCGTGTATTTCTTTCCCCATCAATGTTCCATGGTGTCTTGGGATCGTCGATACCTGTGTTTCGTTCTATATGAAACTTTTCGGGATTCTTCCCAGCCCCAATCTGCCACGAATCTGCCCCAAATGGATTCGTGTGAATTTTTTGTAGTGAGCCGTTGATACTGACCCCTGATGAATACTATTACTATACGTCAAATATTAGTTATACGCAGTGGCAGCTCCTTGTGGTAGGCACTGCCTACCGTGATGAATATATACTAGTTTAATGTATTTCATCATCAACATAATAATAATAATAATAATAATAATAATAATAATAATAATAATAATAGAAATTAAGCCGATCCTATGGCGAGATCGTAAAGGTACTAGCGGTCTCGGACCAGGAGGTCATGGGTCCGAATCTTACTTCGTACATGCTTGTGTTGGGTGTGTCTACTTCATCATTCGTCATTGTAATTTTATTCCATCCCCCAGGGTAAGAACTCTGGGTTGTAAAAATGGAATCAACTTAAAATGCTGATTCCCCATATAGAAAAAGTAATGTGCACCTACATCGATAACCATGTCTGAGCCCCAGTGGGATGCACGTATCGCGTGACCCCATGATGGCCGAGTGCAACTGAGCACAAGCAAGCCACGTAGCACTTGTTTACTGTTTTGTTAACAAGTGAAGAAATGGATTAATATTTAGACTAATTAGTATTTATTTTTTTATTTTAAATTAGTATTTTGCGGGTTTTTATTTGAGTTTTTACATTTATATCTGATTTTACATTAATATTACGATAGATTCTGCGAAGCTAACAAGTGAAACGCCACCTTTGTGAAACTCATATGACTGGTAGCATGGTTTGTGGGTTCCCGAATGATGACATTCCCTAACTTACACAATTTGGATACTACACATTAATGTGCTGATACGTCGCTAACTTGTCTGGCTAGCTCGGTTGGTAGAGCATGAGACGTAATCCCAGAGCCCCACGTTGGGCGCCATTGATGCTAACCAGTGGATCGTCACCATTGTGAAACTAATCTGACTGGTAGTATGGGTTGTGGGTTCCCCAATGATAACATTCCCTACCTTATAAAATTTGGTCACACATTAATGAAATGATTAATGTCGCTAACTTGGCCGGCCGGGCGCTCAGTATAGAACCTGAGATCTGCAAATTTAGTATTAATAATTTTAAGGATTTCAGGTATTTACCATACATGCCACCGTATACTGACTAATTAATTAGATGATTGGGTCTGGATCACAAGGCATTAATTCAAATATAATCTTGGTTGGTAAAACGATCAATTTACCAATTCGAAAAGCAATTTTGATTATTAAATGGGCCGAAATTCACACAATTAACACTAATGAAATACTTAATTTAATTTTAAATAACGATTACTTTATACTTTCATCTTCCACGAGTTCATCACTGCACGAGAGTATGTAAAAATTGTAACAAGTTAGCAGTTGTTTGCATTTCTTGTGCTCACCAGTTCTCTGCCTGCGCGAAGGAGAGAGTGCGATTACGCTGCCCTGTGATGCCACGGCGTCTCCTCGGACAAAATCCGCTTCTGACCCCTCTGCCTCTGTTTAGCCTCTTCGGATTAGTTCATCGGCGGGCTCACCGACACCATATTTTGCGTAAATGACATTCTACGCCTGGTAGATCTCGATCAGGTTTTTGTCCAGTTTCCCTGATACATTAAGCAAATGCTGACATGGTCCCTTGTTTTGCTTCTGGGTGTAAATGTAGCTTCACTATGCGCACGTTTTGTTCAACTCTTCTTTTGCTTGTAATGGTAGAAGTAGAGGTAAGGGCAAGTTACTATTTTGTTAGCAATACATAAAAATTATACTTGCAATTCGGTTACCGTTGCAAATATTTTCTATAACTCGGGAACGAAAATGTCTGGTTTTTTAAATGTCGCTAATTTCGCGCTTTTTTAAACAAATATTTTTATTTATTTTAAACTTTTGCTCATCTTTCAACTATATATAGTTAAAATGATGAGAAGGGATTCTGGAACTCAAGAAAACGTGCGCAGATTATCTTCTCCCCCATACGTCACATACGGTTTTTACTGTTTCTTGACTAAATAAACTAGAACAAAGACTCTGCCTTTGGTACAAATAGTGCTGATACTTTTCTGCTGCAAATAAACTTGCCACCAATGCGATGTCAGCAATAGCTGTAATTTACCGGAACTGCGGTTCAATAACCAGTCAGCAAGATTCAGCGCGAAGTTTGAATACGTGCTCACGCACGTAGTCTTTCGGCTACACATTGATGAAGTCTACCAGACATGAAAATCTTTCTAAGATCCAATGTAGTTCTACTCTCAGAATCATTCTAAGATTAACGTGAACTACCAGAACTTATCTCCGAGATCAAAGCCAGCTTAAGAGCGTTCTAACGCTGCAAATGCAACTTTCCTACAATGAGGCTGAGGCTCCTCTACTCCGAGCATTTCAGCATTGCCCTGACATTTTCACTTTCGTCAATGAATGTTAATAGTCTGGGCCTGAATAGTAACCCTCCTTTTCTATTGGCTAACTAAATAGGGGTCACTACCTTTCAATCACGCTCTGCCCCCGCGCACGTGCGCGTATCTGCGGAGTGACCAATTAAACCCCAGGGAGCGTCTGCATCCCCAAACTACAGCTTGTCTTTTGTTTTTCGAATTTACTACTGGAGTTCTATCTAGATGGCGTGCGTTTTGACACTTTTCCCCATTTGCTCGATTAGCCCGATAGACGATAACAAAAGGCCACACATCCCATCCTCCATTATCTGCACTTCGAGTAGAAAAATGAGCTCTTTTGGGAACTTAGCAGCTTTGACAGCAGTTCGGCGGTAGCCTATGTGTACGTCTTGCATATCGACGTTTTTATTGTTTCTAAACTAGTTTCTGGCATGAAACTATAAGCACCTTTTTATAAGCACATAATGTAGAAAACCATAAAGAATACTCTGAAGGGCTGAGAAAATTAAATTGTCAAAAATTTACAAAGCCAATATTAGCACATCAAAATATTTAAAGTTCACCTACATTCTGTAAAAAGAAATTGTCTGGGAAAGACATTTGTTCAGGTATATAGAACTGTACTGCGTTATTATAAAGTATCTGAAAGATTGACTATAAAACATGAACCATCATATGTCATAAAAATTTTAAACATTTTATCCAAGGAATTCACCAAGTTAAAGTGATGTAATATATTATCTATTAGTTACATTTCCACGAGCATAAAAGAGCATCAATTAACAATAAAAATAAGATATAATAATTGTATTTTTTAATTATTAAAGAATGTAATTTGATGATATTCAACCTAATACTATTTTGCTTCATTGTTAAAAACATCTTCCTGATTATAATAACAATGAAATACAGTATAATACTACTAAAAAATATTTTAGTCTAGTCTACAAAACTACTTAATAATGAATAGGCCATTGAATGTACCCTCAGTTCACGAATGATGATGATGATGATGATGATGATGGACAACAACGAACACGAGTTAGGTATTATGAAATAACTAAATAAACATTTTATAAAACACATAAATATTTATTGCCACTAATTATTTAACTAAGAAATAATCAAATGAATATTTTTTCAGAAACGACAAGTATTGTCAAGCACCACAATGTTTTTACTCATATTGCATGATTAATAGGGCTCGGACTTTAGGTAAATACATATTTTTCTCCCCTTAATCCTGAGCATTGAAAGTTTAGTGGAAATTCCAGTAGCATCCCATTGTTCCCATATACCAAATTGCATATCACCTAAAAAAAATATTTTGATTAAGTTGCATAAAAATAATTATTTTCTTATAAACAAATATTACAAATTTTGCTAAATTTTATGAATAATGGAATATTTTGGGTATTTTCAAGTTTAATATTATAGAGATTTATGATTTACAGTGTAAGACATGCCAGGAATGTAATGGTTGGTCACACATCGCGTTACTGTGAGACTTTCCCGGTTGGGTGGAGTGAACCTGAGTCATTGCCTATCAAAAAGTCTGAAGGGCATTTCTAACACTGCTGTCAATTCAGGCAATGACACTGCAGGCGATAACATATACTTATAACACGAGTAGCTACCAAACTTCCTCTGACTGCACAGATGAAATGTGCGGAGTAATAAAAAAGAAGATGTCATGGTTTACTTCAAGAATTCTCTTGATCCTGGTTACTTGTTTGCACATGGTTAATAAATATTTTAGTCATTTTAACACATATCTTTCACATTTTAAGCACATACAAAATAAATATTTTCTGATTTTTTTAAAACCTTAAAGTCCGAGCCCTAATTATTTAAATATTTATAGCAATTCTACAGACAAATTTTATTCACATATAATACAAAATTTACATTCAACTGGCAAATGACAATGCTTCACAACCATATAAAATATATTCTTCTCTTGACATCCAAAATGGTGTACCAGGAATATATCTGTGTTGTTCTTGATCTGGAATCATACATCATTAAATTTATCATACATTTTGAAAAGTATAAATACCAAAAAAATTATAAAAAGCAATTAAAATTAAATGTAGTTTCTGAGTTAAGTATGATACAATATGGGAACTTGTGTTGGGAATTGCATGTACACCTACTGATAACTTCAAAGCCTGAACACAAAATTCTACATTATTCTTTAAAATTCTAAATCTGTTTAATGCACCCTTCACAAATAATTTCCTATTCAGTCTAAGGCCAGTAAATGGGTTTTTTTTGTTTTGATGGCATCATGTAAAATGTAGCTGGGACACTGCTTCACACTATTATACCAAATTGAATTTTCCTCTAAAATAAGACAAAATTTTAATTATTAGAAACCAATCATGTAGTAAGAATTAAGTTGAAGAAATATAATTAAAAAGAATCCAACCCTCTTCAAGATGACTCAATGAACTTAGTGTGAGCAGTTAAGTGATCTGGATGTTCAAATATAGGCTCTAATTTATAGGTTTCTTTTCTTTTTTTCTTTACCTTCTTTTTGTAAGAAAATGTTTTCAACCAATTTCTTTTTAACTTATCACTATCCTAGTGAATAATCACTGTTCAATTCAATGTATTTTAGTGTACTTGCAACTGTTATTGTACAATGAAATTTATCTCGAGAATGAAGATCGTAATGTAAAAATAAACCCTAAGGCTAAATAAATAACTAACCTGTTACACAATATTTAGAAACAGGAACGTAAGTAGAGCCCATGGCAACACTCCAGCTACTGGACCCAGGTAAGCTTTGAACATTTATCACGGCTTTGAATTCAGGAAACAGCTCACAGAGATCACGCATGATCCGTAATCGAAACCCTGAGAGATCAGTATTTCCTCCTGATACAAGTGATGAAAAAAACAAACAAAAAAACAAACAACAACGTTACAGACAGTTCATTCAGTGTCTAATAAAGCAATTTTTCCATAAATTTTCATTATTTATTACTATATACATTTATTACAACAAATTTAGGTATATTATGCAAAAGGCACAGAAATTAATAAGTAACTTTTTTTTTCTGAATCTTAGGGTGAATGTTACACCAAATAATGTATGAAAATTGGTATTGTAATGTAGAAAACATTTTTTTGTGCATACACATCATATTTAGTATTTTGTTGTTATTGTTGTAGTAAAAGAACATATTTCTGCCCATTTTCCCCATTAATGCATATATTTGTCATATTTTAAAGGGCACAAGAATAAAAAGATTAAAATGAGTCTCGTAAAACGAAGTCTGACAAGATATTGTCATAAATACACACAACAATTAAACTACAAAGCTTTATTTGGACAAGCAACAAAGTACACTGGTCCATTTGATGACATAACCCATTGTAGTGCAGGGTCATCAAAAGCATCAAAGTCGACAAAGAAGGCACATGTGGTCACACTGTTCAGTTTGAATACTAACCCAGTGAAAGTAAATTGCTCCAACAGCATGAAGCAAGGTTTTATGTAATTTTGGAAAAAAATTCTTCAGCACTGACAGAGAAATATTGTTTTTATTGTACTGTTTTGGGCTTTTTTAACCTTGCAAACATTTTAAAAGTAAGTGCTGATTAGTTTCAAAGACAGCTAAACTAAGTAATATAGTCACAATTATAGTAATATAGTGAATTTTGAATTTATATTAGAAAAATAAAAGAAATAAAAATTTTTAAAAAAATTTAAAAGAAAGGTTTTCAATAAACTCGTATAAAAAGATTTATTTTTATTTTTAAAGTTAGATTTATAAATGTTTTAGGACATAGAAGTATGAATATTTCCCTGCTATTTAGGTCATTAAAATCCAGGCCCTATCATGAACATACATCAATAAGATACATGAAAATAAAAAACAGATACCTGAAAGTTACTTACCTGTAATTAATATATGCCCAAGGCAACTTTTTATTGTCTGATCAGGCAAGCCTTCGGTGATATCTTTGATTATCTGAGGCAAGTCAAGGCTAGCGTACATGACTTCTGGAGCCAAGAAAAGTTCTTCGCCCAAAGACACTCTCTGAAAAGTACAATATGATGAGAAAAATCACTTAACTGTAGGGTCCATTTACTGAGCACATGAAACTTGGCAATTGGGAGTTACTCTGGCAACCAGGGCAGAATTTATGGTCCGCAGGGCCACCAACCAGATCACATAGATGGGGGACCCCACTCAAAAAAAAGAAAAGAAAAGATTAGTCAGATGGGGAAAAGAAACCATCCCTAAATGATTTGAGGACGGTTTTGCACAAACATTTTTTCTGCCAATCTCTGTGTAACAAAGAGTTGGTGACTTATCTAGAGATGGGCTCTCGACTTTAGAAAATGTCAGACCTGAGGCCCCTCGGGAACATGATTGTTTTGCTCGTATGTAAATCTGGCCCTATTGTCAACACCTTTCAAATTAATGTCCCTGATACCACACAATAGTAGTACAGAAAAATTCAAAAACTGAAATATGGTAAAATGAATAATTCAAAATATTCAACTCCTCCATATTAAGAAATTTTTAGAGCCAATAAAACATGTAGTCAACAATAAATAATTTTCTTTCGAGCTTCATCCTTATATGAAAACATCAGGTTTCAAAATCTTTTGATTATACATCATTTAACCTTTTTTTTCTGAAAGAAATATTCACAGTCAACGAAGTTGAAGATTGAAAAACCTTGCATTTCCACAACATTCCCAGAAATGAACAACTACTGAAATTATTTCTTAAAATTATCAAATTATTTTGAAATTTCTGAGAATTATGAATTGATTTTCTAATGATAAAGAGTTTGTTTTAAGAAATGTGGAGTGGTAAAATATGGAAATTTAAATGACATCCCAATAAAAATGGCAAACAAAAGCTTGTTGTTGTTGTTGTTTTCATAGATTAGATCAAAAATAAAATGGACTGTCATTACACAAATACAGAAAAATATTTTTTTAACATAGCTTTCAAGATGATTCTTATGATGTGTTCTATTGTAATAATTCAGGAGATTAAGAATGATTTTTAAATATTTAAAGCTAATTGGAAACTTCCTTTATAATATGATTAACTGTGAGTATGCATAATACTTCATATTTTCACCTCCCCAAATGATCTAAGATACAATATCACACTTTTTTTACTTCATTCTCATCATCACAATTATTATTTTTATTATTTTGATCAGCAACTTCGCCAGATAGGGGTCTATTAATTTTCCAACATAATCCCAAACACCTTCAATTGTTTCAGGCAAAATCAAATTGCTTCTTGATTATTGTGTTAGGAAATATACAATATTCCTTCATAAAGATTTCAACTCTTTTTCTAAATTTGGTCATGAAAATTTGATTTGCAGAGAAATATTGAAGCAAATTGGGCCAACTGATGATATGAAAATTTACTAATAAGGATTTTTACCCAATACTGCTTGTAGTCTGCATAGCTGTCTACCCGCAAATTTATGTCTTCTCTTCTTGAAGGTCCTCTTTGCTGCTGTTCTTTGACAAAATTGTAACTCAATCGACACTTCTTCTTCACAGTCATTGTGTCCAAATATGATATAGGGATCTACATTGGCAAGAGAGACAAGTTTAATGAGGAAATGATTTTAATTACCAAAATAATGATTTCTTAATATATGACAATTCCCAAAAGTGTTTATACCATGGGAAATAAATTTGTAGATTCACATATCCTTGCTTACAAAATATTATTGGCACTATCTTACAAATTTTCATAAAATAACGAAGGTTTTGTAAATGTCCTTGCCACTTCTTTCTACACACATGTACAAAATTTTATTGAATTTATAGTAAGAATTTAAAATGAAATGATATAATTTTCAATCATTATTTTAACAATCTAATATTTTTTTTGCAAGTTACGTTGATAGTGTCTATATATTGACATGTCATCTGCAAAGCATTGAATGTGAAAAATCACTACTTTTCAGAAGCCTCAGTTGATTCAAACATATCAATAAGATCAGTTTTAATATATTCACCATCCTATTTATAATTACATATTGATTATATCCGATAGTTTACAGCTGAGAGCTTTGAGATTTAGGACTTTCTTAAAAAGTAACAGATTCGCTTGGTGATTACGTGCATCACCTTTGAAGCAACTACGAAACTACAACAAAAAAGCATGTTTTTCACATTCAATACTTTACAATTGGCACAACTATTGAGACATTTAAACAAGATCTTCAACAAGGAGAGCAGGAGGACCTTGCCTTGTGTGAGACCACTTGATGATGTGTGCAAACGTGTTGTGGTTGCCAGCAGAAATGATGAGTGGAAAGTGATAGCTGGGAAAGTATAGGACCAACTACAGTTGTGAACCTAGGACGAAAGGTGCAACTAGGAAACCTACTTCTGTATACTCCTCTGGTTGCCATTGCATAGCTTGTTTTAGGTTTTCTGCAACATGCCAGCCTCCAATTGGCATCTGTCGCCAACGTCCAGGCTCCAACTGTCCATTTAAAACAACAGACACTGATGTACTTAAAGCTCCACTGTCTATTACTATGCAATTTTCAAGGGCCACTAGGGCACTTACAGCCAATGGCTTTGGAACTAAACACACCCTGCAAAGCAGCACAAAAAATTTTTTATTAAATTCTGCGTAGACAATAGTTGTAATCAACACTTTTGATAGAAAACTTTGAATATTTGTAAGCCTTTTTCTCTACACAGAGAAAACATTTTCAGATAAACATATTGAGGTGTTCATAGAAAAGTACTTGAAAAAATATCAATGGGCTTCTACAGATACCAATAATATAACTCAGATAAAGGGTTTTAGTATTTTATTTTATCTGGAAACTAAGTGGTCTCTTATCATAAATAAATACTGTATTTTGAAATTCATGAAAGTAAAAGACCAAGAAAGAAATTACACTTTTTCCTCAAGTAGTTGTAATTTCCACATTCTAGGTTTGCAAACACCTCAGCACGTTCTTTTAAAAAATCTTGGTGTCTCTGTAGCTATTTTGACAATACAATCACAAAAAGTACATAATCATGTTTTAAAGAAATTTCTTGGAATGATGATGAAAAAATGTATTCACCTGGAGACCCGGGCATGCAGAAATAAATAATGTAGCAGCTGAATTCTTAATGCATGTGACATTGCTAATGGTTCACAAAACATGAGAATGGCATTTGGTTTTAGCAGGACAGGAGAAAGGCTCATCTGATGAAAAAGGTGACCCACAAATGCTTTCACGACGTGAAACATGCTATCACTTAAAAGAGCGGCTGCTGGACTAACAACATCCATATTTGGAATTCCAAGTATTTCAACTGTGTCTGCACAAAATCCATTTGCAAGACCTGCATATTCTGTTGATGGTTTCCTGCAACTTGCATTTCTTTCCCACACACCACATGACACACGTTTCTTCTCCCTATAGAGTTTCACAGGGTTACAGAATACACAAAATGGTCCATTTGTTTGCACATGTAATGATCTAGTTTCATGAGAATTCTGTTGCTGAATATTTGCTTGATTTTTGTCTCCACCAGTTTCACTCACAGAACACGAATCAACAGCATCAAAACTTGGCTTAGGAATTCCAAACATAGAATAGTGTCTTCTTACACCAAAATTTGGAGTGACTATCCAAGTCCATTTGTTACCTATATCCATCACAACTCTTGAACCATGATCTTCCACACACGATTGCCCACACATGTATTTTGCACAATGGTAGCACGGAACAAATACATCATCCGAATTCACAATCATATTCATACGATAGCACATCTGTTTGAAACATAAACTTAATTTCTGCAATAATCTCCTGTCTGGGAACTGGAAGGGTGATGCAGCTTCCAATTGTTGCCATTTTAATTTCCTAAAACCCAAAAACAAATTTGGTTCAAACTATTTGACCTTATTTTTTATATAAAATTCCAAAGATTATGTAACATTCACTTATATTTATTATAAATTATGTGAAAGCTCCATACCAAAGATATTCAGTATCCACAATTCTTTTAAGATATTTACAACTGCATCCAAAAGACAATATATCTGTCACACTACAAAATTTTAGAATTTTTATCCAGATTTCTTCAGGAAAAACCGATGGGTCCATTTATATAAGTATAATAAATTTCAAGCCGACAACGGATCGAACAGATGATTAATTCTTACATATTAATGTAAGGTATTTTAACGGTTAGAAGCGCACCTTTTAAAAATTAATAATTACATGCCATTCGAAGAAAACAACTAATCTCTGAAAATATTTCTAAACAATAGAAACCTATTTTTTCTTAACATTAACCTTCAGAAATAGTTCTAAGCAATTCAATAGTTCAGTTTAAAAGAAAGTAGATTCCACATCATTTTGGACAGCGGCGCAACACATTCAAGCAAGTGTGGACAGGGTTGATAGAACCAGCTGCCAATGAATTTCAGAAGTGCATCACGATTTGATATCGTAAAGATACTGCATTTTACTTTTAATCATGAGCTATCCATTCAAATCAACAAAAAATAACATATTAATGGATCGCTGTAGGTGGATGCTTCACAAAATAGCGGAGAAGTACCTGGGAAGGTTAAAAATATTACATGCTTCTTTCCACACGCAGTTGGTAATGTAACAGTGTCGGCAACAATATTTTTTATTGGATCACTTGAAATAAGAAATTCTAAAGTCAATGACATCGTCTCATTTATGAATGATTTAAATTTCACAACCTTATAATACAAAGTCGTTTACCACTAGTTTTTCTTTGTAATTCATTTCTACAAGCAAAGATAGTATTTGTCAGTTGACAGATCTATTGGTTATCATGGAATGAGAACATTGTAGCGGATAATTTGAAATGAAAAGAACAATTTCGGCTTTTTATTCACTTGTCAGGATAAGTACAGCCTTCAGACTCCTTCAGAATTCACGATAAATTATCAACATTTCAATTAGTCCACTTCACACACGGCATAACATTGAGAAATGAAGCAAAGAAAGAGACAAAAGGGAGATTTTACATCATGAAGATCGCGGTTTTCTCACAGGAAATGGGAGCTGGGTTCCGACGTACAGCACACTTACTAAACCTGAGTGCGAGATGTATTTATTAAGAATAAAATTTTGAATAAGAGAAGAGAGATTTAGAAATCTACATTTTAGTTTTTATTAATCATCCCCTTTTCTATCAATCCACAGCCGTCCTTCTTTCATCAGTTAACATGTACAAATAATTTTATATAGTTGTTAAAAGTTAAATTAAAAAAATTGTGGGTGGGTAGTAAAACTGCTCTGCAATTACTTTCTCGCATGGAAACGGTCTTTCGTTGGTCGCTGGGCACAATTAAGCCCATTTGTATGTTTGAAAAATCATATAAATATAATTTGTGATCCAGCGTAGAATTGTTCAGTGGTTGAGGGGAAGTTAACAACGGACACCTGAGTAGATTTTTCCTTTTATCTTTGTTTAGGTAAAGAGTTACAGTTTCATCGTTTCTATATTTTATTATTAGAATCTTTCTTGACCCTTGATGATAGTTTTGTTTTTTTAATGCTCATCAGAAGTTTACAAAAATACATCGAAACCGTTGCCAAGCACAGGGGCGGATCCAGAACCGAATTTTGGGAGGGGAAATTTTTTTATTCAAAATATTTTGGTCGAATATGTCATATTACAGATTATGTAGAATGACGCAGGCTAAACTCAGCTCATGTTGCAATACAATTTTATTCGTTTTAAGGGTTATACGAAAGTAAAGTTACGTGACAAGCTAAAATTAATAGTTACTGAAAAAGTTTGGGACGGGAAATTTCCCTCACCATGGATCCGCGCCTGCAAGCGTAATCACTTTGTGGAAACTCCAGCGTTCTCTTACATCCACACCTGCCCAGAAACACTTTGAAATAATATTTTGGTATCTGCCGATGTTCGTGAATGTTGAACTAGTTCTTTAAAAAAAAAAAGGTCGTAGTCACATGAGTGCTTACGGCAAGTACATATACATATACGAGTTCGTGTTTTCGTGTATATAAGCCGATAAGAACACGCGTTATTTGTTTTCTTTGTATAACGCTGATTTTTTGACAATATGGTATGAAATATGTTTTTCCTGAATCCTTTCATAGCTTTCGATTAAAGCTAGCAGAGCCCACGATTTTGATAAATGCTGAAGAGCCTAAAATTCGGTAATACGGCACTTAATCAGTCCATTACGAATAACCAGACTTCCCATGTTCTAATATTTCTCCTGCATTTCATGATCAAAAAATATCCAGTGTTGCAATGATCCTGAGCTTTTGTGGGAAACCATACCACTTTCGAGATGCTTAGATCAAGAAATAACATCTGCCATTGATCCTGTTATGAAATGCAATGATTACAGTGAGGTGAAAAAAGTCATGGAATATCTCTTAATATCGTGTCGGACCACCTTTTGCCCGACGAAGTGCAGCAACTCGACGTGCCTTGGACACAAGTCGTTGGAAGTCCCCTGCGGAACTACTGAGACATGCTGCCTCTATAGCCGTTCATAATTGCGAAAGTGTTGCCGGTAAAAGAGTTTGTACACAAACTGACTTCTCGATTATATGGGATTCATATTGGGCTATCTGGGTGGCCAAATCATTGGCTTGAGTTATCCAGAATGTTATTCAAATAAATCGCGAATAATTGTGGCCCGGTGACGTGGTGCATTGTCATCCATAAAAATTCCATCGTTGTTTGGGAACATGAAGTCCATGAGTGTCTAAAAATGGTCTCCAAGTAGCTGAACATAACCGTTTCCACTCAATGATCGGCTCAGTTGGACCAGAGGACCCAGTCTAATCCAGCCCATTAAAAACAGCCCACACCATTATGGAACCACAACAAGCGTGCATAGTGCATGTTGACTTTGATTAAGATTCATTCCCATTCGGTGAAAATTCTTTAGCGCCAGATTGTGGCATTGTGGCTCATCAAGAAAGTCTTCCTTGAAATGCACAAAAGGACGATGTTTAATTTTCCTGTAAATTAATAACTGTTCATTGGATTTAATTGCCAATTTAGAATCGAATTTTTGTTTTCTTTAATTTAATTTTCACGAAAGAATGTATCTCAATCTTCTAAAGTCCGCTGAACTTTAAAATTTGCATAAAGTATGACTGATACGAATAAGATTGATTGCCAGTCAGAGTTAATTGTTCGCGCCACATTGCATTGTTTGAATTGGAGAGTCGGCCGTCGCGCACGTTGCGCCGTGTGCTGCCTACTTTTCCGGGACGTGATGCAAGCGCATGGAAATGTTACTGAATGTCAAACTGAGGTTTTGAATATCAGAAGAAAATTGAAAATGGAGAGGGTGGTTATTCAAAATGGATGACTTCGGGCGGCTTGGATAGTTTTCACCGGCGCGGAGATGGCCGGCGGCCGCGATCTGTTGAAAGCACCGGAAAACACTTTCTCTTTACGAGAAAGTAAAAAACTAGCCAGTAGGCTTCAACCCATATAGTGATATCTAAAGTCTAGTAATTTCCAAATCCGCCTGATATCTCCGTAAGTATGTTCAGTGCAACCTAACACTCAATAAAGAAATACACAGCCGTGCGGCTCAAATACGAGATGTTAACACCACATGGCCCAATTGTGAGCCGATTGCCGTAAAATAGTCAAATTTTACGAAACACGATTCTTAAAGTAGAGATTTCCAGCTTTTATTTAATATAAATTAAAAGTATTTTGGATAAAAATCCACGAAGCCATGCCCTTTTGAAAAAAGTCTATTTCTATTATTTTAATTTAAAATTAGCCGTATTCTAATATCGCACACTGTTGAGCCAAATAAGTAATGTTTTGTGCTCAGGAAATTGTTGAACGATTTAGTGGACACTACCTCAGTCAAAAACCGTTGGAAAGTACCTGTCATTAAATAATATGACGTACCTGCTCTTTAGTTTCTCAAGTAGCGAAAAAAGATAAAAACAAAACGAAGTTTTTTCTTGTTTCCTTAATTCAATTGCAATTATGATTTCATTTGTTAGGTTTACTTTTAGTAATTGTTCGTAGTTTAATTATTGAATACTGCGAGTATATGAATTTGGAGCTCTCGGTAATCTTTACTTATCATCCCGTAAACATTGTTTCTTAGAAACCCATGCACTGACTTACATCAGGGCATTGGAGCACCGGAAAAATATTTATTTTATAGTTTCTACCTAGTCCATAGTCAAAACAAGTCTACAAAATCGTGCTGAATAGGTACAATATTGCCAGTCATTCTTACTTTGGTGTAAAGTTTTAAAATTACTGAAGAACTCTGCTCAACACATGTGAGATGCGCAGAGCTTATTCCCGAGATGCGTCGACAGCGTTTCAATGATATTCGCCGAAAATAGCACCAAATACGCAATTTTCATTAACGTCAGATATTCCCAACCATTTTCTTGCATCGACCCTTTTTAAAAGAAAGATTTGCTCCCCCCCCCCTTTGACATATTTCTTTATTGTAGACTAGGGGTGCCCAACTTGCAAGGCCTCAAAGGCCAAAAGTAAATCCTTCAATATGGTTGCGAACCACATTGTCATTACTCGGGCGAACCACACCCTGACTCCTCCGTATTGTTGAGCACAGCAGTTCGCCCGGCTGCTCTGAAACGGGGGAGGGTGGGGAAATGGAACCATGCGTGATGTCAGGCAATACAGTTCACAATACACTAGGACGGTTTTGAATTTCTAAATTTACTAGAAAAAATTCTTTAAATCTAAATATCCAACCCTTATAAAAGTAATTGTTACATTAAACGGAGTGTTGACTCCGACAGGTCGCGTATGCTAGGCACACAATGTTCTCGTCTGACTTGGATGAAGGAACTTTCATTTTTTACTAAAAACCTTTCGGGGGCCACAATAAACGGAACCGCGGGCCGGACGCGGTGCGCCAGTTGGACATCCTTGATATACACCATACAAAATAATCGTAACACAAATGATTTCTCTATAGAACTTGATAACAATTACATACAGAAAGAAGAAGAACGAATGTTTTGAAAATCATGGTTTCTTATTGGATTATGATTTAGTATTGTTTGTACTATTAACATTTTCATT